CTTCACAACCATTTTTTTTTTTTTATAATGTACCCCCTCCCCGCCTGATAGGGGTTGGGGTCAGAGACTAAAAAATCCATGAAGACCACTCCGGATCACTTGCCCCGAAATCATTTTCCACTCAGATCAAGTGTTTCTACAATTGTGCCAAGTTTGTTGCTTTCCTGAAAAAGTCGAACTATAAAGGGCTCATTTCTGGACATCTGACTGCGCTATGACCCTTGTGATGAAGATCCAGAATCAGTCAAAAAACCTAAACCGGAAAACTGTGCTCATTGTGAAAACTAAAAGTGAAGCAACTTTTTTCTGATATTTCTTACATCAAATGGCAGCCATCTAATTTTTCCCCCTTCAAATTAAATTGGCGGGAAATTCAAAAATTTAAAAAAAAATTTAATCCTTAAATATATTTCAAAAATATGGTTTCTTTTAAATTCTTCATGGGTCTTAAGTTATTTCTTCTTTGTAAGTCATACATGTTGCCATTGGTGTTTTTTTCCATGATAATGACTATTTATTTTTGGTTAATATACTTATTCTGACTCTCAGCAGGGGGTTAATTATGCATCAAAACTAGTGAAAAAGTAAATATACTTATCAAATATAACTAGGAGAGTAATAAAAAACATATTTCACATACATTTGACTGAGGGACCAAAAGGCCATATACCCAGACACATCCTTTATTCAGCATGTTGTTTACTCAGTACAAATATGACATTCAGCCCTGTGATGTCATAATATTACAGTTCAATAGTCACAAATTAAAAAACAGTCACAGTCAAGAAATTGCAAAAATGGCAGCAATTCTCACCTGATAACAGAAGGCCTTGCATTTGGTGGCCTAATTTCATACTTCACTTGGACTCACAGCCACACAAAACTTATGCTACCATGAAGAAAGTATACAAAAATTCTCAAAAGTTCATGAATTAAATTAGGTAAGATTTAGCCCATCATGAGAAATCATGGCCTTCATATTTCTCGTTGAAGGCAGAAATATATGATGAGTATCAGAATGGATTTAACCATTTACTGTGTCCATGTAGACCTATGTAGCGCAGTAGTCCCATTCAAATCTAAAACAAGGGCGGGATGTCAAGGAGCAAAATCCTTTCATCAGAATATTAAAACATAGTATTTGCCCATTTAATTCGATTCTTGATAATAGTTTTTTTTTTCTGAAAAGTTACTAATTCACAATGAAGCAACGATGTATCTTTTGAATCAATATTTTATAACGAAGTGTATTTTTAGAATTTAAATCTTAAATAAAATAGGATTAGTATCAGAATGAAATAGATTACATTACAATTTAATAAATGAGAAAGGTAGAAACGGTATACTCTTTTATGATCAAGGAGTTTTGGCTCATATGGACAAACTAGTGACAAAAATTAATGCCAACTTTACATTAAAAGATAATCTTGCAACATTAACAAGACAAAATGCCACACAGGTTATCGCAAATAAATGAATAGATAGAATTCAATCATTTAAGGTGTTCATATGAAGCGTATGTATTAGTCCTGTTCGTATCTATAACAAGAGCAGGGTGTCTAGAACATGTAACAGCGGATTATATAAAAATGGACTGTAACAAATACCCGGATTTGTTGATTTTTAAAAAAAGTAATTTTTTGATATCACTTTTTATGCCCGGCATATGCTGGCATAAAAAGTGATATCCCATTTTATGCTGGCATAAAAAGTGATGTCCCATTTTATGCTGAGCATAAAAAGAGATACTCCATTTTATGCTGGTATTGTTTAGGAAGTGATGTTTAATGGTAGTTCAAGATTTAAGACCCATCATTCTGGCACAGATTGCTGAACCATTGTTAGTTAAGAATTCCTAATAGAATTAAGAATTATTAGCTGAAACTGAGTTGTTTTGCCCTGGCAAACAATTTTCCAACTTGTAGTTCAACTTCTTCTGTCTATTTGTTGACAGTCTGTGATGTCATCATCAATCATCACAATAGAAATGAGGTAATTCATGATGACATCACAAAGTACTCTGATGACATCATCAATCATCACAATGGAAACGAGATAATTCATGATGACATCACAAAGCATCTCTGTCATAGATAGAACTCTGCCACATTTCTTAGAAATCAAACTACTATGTGACATCATAGATAATCTCACTGTCACAGATAGAATTCACCTAATTCCCATTGTGATGATTGATGATGACATCACAGACTGTCAACACATATAGACAAAACTGAATTTCAAATGCATATTGGGATATTGTTTGCTAGGACAAACAAAACAGTTTCAGCTATTAATTCTTAATTCTATTAGGAATTCTTAACTAAAATAAGTTCAGCAATCTATGTGAGAAAGATGGGTCTGAAATCTTGAACCACCTTTAAACATCACTTACTAAATAATACCAGCAGAAAATGGGGTATCTCTTTTTATGCTCAGCATAAAATGGGACATCACTTTTTATGCCAGCATAAAATGGGACATCACTTTTTATGCCAGCATAAAATGGGACATCACTTTTTATGCCGGGCATAAAAAGTGATATCAAAAATTACTTTTTTTAAAAATCAACAAATCCGGGTATTTGTTACAGTCCATTTTTATATAATCCGCTGTTATGTTTAGAACAGTAATACTAATTGGCCATTTAATTCAAGTCTGAATGATAGTTTTTTTCTGAAAAGATACGAATTCACAATGACGAAACAGATATCTTTTGGAATCAATATTCTGTAATGAAGTGTATTTTTAAAATTTAAATCTTAAATAAAATAAGATTAGTGTCAGAATGAACTGGATTACATATTACAATTTAAAAAAAGAAATGAAGGAACATTAAATAATTTTAGTTGAATAAAGTAAAATATAAGATTTTATAAGCAAAGTTGCTATAATACTGAATGTGTAATTTCAAGTCTATCTGCTATTACATGTTAAAGGTTATTGTTTTGGAAATTGTTTTGAAGTTATGAAATACTTGTATATGTTGAGGTTCAATTATAGCAGGTGACAATAGATTAATAATACTACCTTTTGAAGTAAGAGTAAAACATAAGCTTACATTTGCAAATGCAACTAACAGCTAGCAACTACCGGATTAACCTACTATTTTATGACCAATTCATTTAAATATGAATGCGGAATAGTGGCAGGTACTATTCATATCTAAATGAGTTGCCCATAAAATAGTAGGTTAATCGGGTAGCCAACAGCGTTAGTTCAGGGTTCGAAATTAGCGTTGCGGAAGTAACGATTTGTTCCTTCATTTTCCAAAATCGTTACCTAGCAACATGCCCAAGTAACGAAAATAGTTACCTGCTTTATGGGAAGAACTCTAAATGATCGTCAACTCAACTTCTCAAATGAAAATATGCCGACATTGCCGTGATCAAATAGATTTTTGATTTTTTTTCTTTGACACTTTTCATCCTTTTTCACTTTAGCTGAAAGCTGTAACTTCTCAAAACATAAGATAAAGTGTTCACTTACCATACAGATTCTTATTTTCCTAAAATAAAGTCTTAAAAACCGGCAATTTTGAGGTAAAATCACCGTATTGTTAAGGAACGTTTTGAAGTTGCTAGCCTAACTTCCTGTATGAAAAAGGGAGACATCTATTGAGAAAAATATTAGTCTAGTAGCTTAATTGGTTTCACCCCCTTCAATAAAATTTGAAATTCCCATTTTACCATGCAGATTTGAAATAAGAAAAAAAATAAAATCTTGGGGAGGAAAACTCGAAAAGACAACAGCTATTTGCATAACAGCCTGACCTTTCACTTAGGAATGTTTATAGTGGGAAATTTGAATTTGAATGTTTATACCAAATGATTGGTCTATTATAGTTTAATTTGATCACATGACTAATCATCATCATCATCAAGTTTAGGAAGGGTGGAGGCTTTATAGCCTGTAATGTTCTCCCATCTGATCTAAAATTAAAACTGAACTTAGGGTAGGGAACTGATTATTGCTCACAACTGGCTATTTGTAAAGATCTTAGAACCATGCCTTGTCCAGGCCCTCGGCCCAAGCTGAGCTAGACATGATAGATGATAGATATATGTTTTAGTACTATTTTTGAAAACAAGACCTTAAGTTTCGAATGTTATCATGAAATAAAATTGATAATAGATCAACAGATCAATAGACTTGTTTATTGTATAAAGTGTCAAGGAAAACTTTTATCGCGATAATAACAATTTCAAGCGGTAATAATAACTACCTTACTTTGGTATTTAGTTACCTAGAACAAATCTCAGGTAACTATTTTCAATACCAGGCTAGAAAGTTAAGTTCGAACCCTGTAGTTGCATTCGCGAATACAAGCTAAGACTGATATCATAGTGTATTATATTGCACAAATAATCAAATTGAGTTAATGTTAAAAAATATGCATAAAACCACAGTTGTTGTACACTTCTTTTACCCCTATACTCATAATTGAAATACTAGATCGTATTTATTCTACTCTAATCTAGGGTTATGTTATTCAAGTGAAATTAACTCCACTTGTAACACATTTATATTTTTAGCTTTACAATGATACCAAATCTCTGTTCTACAAAAGGTGAACCCGTTATAAAAATCAGACAATCGTTACTGCACTTAGTTTACATTGTTCTGGTAGTGTTGATTTAATGACTTAATTTGCATAATTACTGCATTTTTTCAGAGAGAGAATGTTCACAGGTAGATATGTATATTGCAAGTCATAAATTAAAAAAAATAACTGATAAGGGATATTTAACTCCATTCAAATACATGAATACTACCAAATGTGCCACGCCCCCTTTCAGAAATATTACATAATTTAAAAAAAAGACAATAGAAAAAAACGCTCAACCTACCACAACTGCATATTTGTGGCTTTTTGACCAGGACATATCTTACTATCAAAAAATGCAATAAAACATTGTATATACTCCAAAATAAGATTCAATAATAAATCCTTTGTTTTCATCTAGACTATTATAATCTTAGACAATTCAAAGCTGTACCTTTTTCTGTAATTCCACACTGATAGCATTGGCTTCCTTCAAGAAGATGGCATTCCCCCATAGATCATCCTACCAATACAATTGAAACACATATTAGATTTACAACGATTAAGTAATAATGTTTGTTCCTACAAAATATACTTGTAAGAATAGGAACAACATGTATGAGGACGTTTTCAGTAAAAAAATCAAGCTATAAATGAGTGAAATAAATGAAGGCATAGAATTGAAACCTACAAATTATAAGCCAAACATCTTTGAACAGCTGCACTAAAATACAGTCTTTAACATTGGCTTGCACATATAGTCAATTAAATGTGCAGCAATTGACTACTTGAGAACACCATAGGAAGAGGAAAAATCAATCATCAAAACTCTACAGACACAGAATGATCATTTCTAAAATTTCAGCACATTAGGAATGATTTTCTCTAGAGTCCATTTCACTGTTTAACTGCGTCAGTAAAAGCTAAAAAATAAGAAATCAAAATATCATTTTGCAATAATATATGGAAAAATATATTCCTGTTGTACATGAATGACATTTGTATATCTTGGATTGGTTCTAGTTTGGCTTATAAAGCGTGTGGCCTCTTATATTTGGATGCTTCTCTGCCATGTTATTTTCAATACAATTAACATGGCTGAAATTCTTCAAATTACAAGACGGCACAGGCTTATTGCACAAAAAACTAAAAAATCTGAAATATACAAATGTCATTCATGTACATTATGAATATACTTTTCCATATATTATTGCACAATGGTCTCCCAATTTCTTATTTTTGCTGTTTTACTGACGCAATGAAGCAGTGAAATGGACTCTAGACATCTCTTGGAATTATATTATAAGCAGCATTCATTACAAAACTAGTGAATTAGCTTCAAAATGAAAATGGAACAAAAGTCCATTGATCATATGTTTATACCTAACCTGTTACCCTATAACTCTATTCATACAGAGGCAGACTGACAACATAAATTATAACAAAAAAACATTAAACTGCATTGAATTGAAATTGCTGATAGGTCTATAACGGACAATAGGAAGACCTAGGCGTATGGTAAAATGGTATTCATGTTTTTAGAACTTTGAAATGAATCATTTAAGTCAACAAGATATACCATTGATGTACTGTAGATTACATTAATATTGTATTATAAGGAAAATTATTATTACATTATCATGGAAAAGGACAATGTGCAATTATTGGCATATATCCCTATGGTCAAAATGAATCATTCGTAGGTGTAACATGAAGAATAAAATGTCATATAATACTTTGGAAAATATTAAAGTGCTCGGACACACATAAGCTGAGATAGGGATCATTTCGTTCAGTAAGGTTGTATTGACTTACATGGGAGTGTGCACTGTTGACTTAGCATGAGGATATCAGCAGATCCCAATAGAGGCCATTGGTTTCCATTGATTATCACAGAAATACCAAAAATACACTATGACCTGAATCGATTGCAAACTTAATAATTTCACAATACGACACAAATGGTTTATCTCATCAAATGTGCAAATATGAAGTTTGCAATCGATTCAGGTCATACTTAAAATTAAAAGATTGTACATTTTTTCATCATTTTTTTCCCTACAAAATGGCTATAGAAAAATGCTCCAAAAACAACTTTTACACTTATCAAATATCATACAAGTTTGTAAAACCAAAGATTATACTATTATATTTCATTATGAAGTAACATATTTGGATAAGATGCAGGGATGCGTAGGATGTTAATGGATTTTGACAGACACAAAAATACTTCCTGGTTTGGAATCTATGCCTCTACACTTCATGATTGAATTATGACCCTAATAAGTGGCCTATACATCAATACAGTGCTGAATATAGGTCAACAAGATACTAGTGTGCATATAAATGTAATAATTGAAGCAGAATACTCATTTTGAAAAATCAGATGAATTATTTTTTTCCCATGGGGAGATCCCAATGGAGGGTGTATAAGGTCCTTTGAAATAGAAAAATTGATGGAGCAAGATCATGAATACATAAGTGAATCCTATAATCAGTCAAACTATGTAACTGAGTTCATATTACAGAGAAAGGTGCCATATTCATGTGTGAGTAAAAATGTGAATGAAGTTTTTGATTGTTTGTATAACATAGGTCAAGCAAGCAAGTCACAATGGTAGGAACAAGAGTCTGACAGCGTGGGGGGGGTGAAATTTTGTGTCAAGTTGACATTTGTTTTTCTCACAAGTGTGTCCTTGTGAGCAAAATCTTGACTACAGTATAAGGATTAATCAGTTTCAATTTGGCACAAATCTTATTTGAGCTAAAAGTACATTTCAGTAGAAAATATTAACTGTGAATAAACAAATTCTCTCTAAACAAGGCACAGTACACACACTTTCAAAATTAACATGGAAAATCATGAAATAATGAGAAATTTTAGTCCTGTCAACAATTTTCCTGAGACCATACTTGTCATAAAAGTTGCATGCGCACTCTTATAAGGATGTGCGCTTTTTAGAAAGATATGTTGACTATTTGATATTAATGAATATGGGACTTGAGCTACATCAGACACACTTAGACTTAGACACCAAACACTATGAAACACCAGAATTGTATGCAACTTAGTTGGAGGAATACTTTTCTATTTTATTCTATTTTAAAGGACCAAAGAACCGTGAATTGTTTATAGAATGAATTGGGGTTTTTTTTTCATGCATTTCACTAGTGTTTTTCATCTAAAAATCATTGATACACTTTAAACACTTTATTGACTATAAGATTGCACCATATAATCCAAAAAAACATTTCTAATTTCAAGGATTATGTATGGATTAACACCCAGGTATTTTTATTCTTCAAACTTCAGAGGGCTGGGAATCGTTATTACGATCACTTTTGAATAATATAAATGCTGTTTTAAATAGGTTTCATGTATGCCAATAATTTCTCAAATTGTGTAAATGGTACCCATTCCTTAATCCCTAGAATTTTCTCTGAGGAATTTCCCATAGTAATCCAATGGTATAGTTCCAAGCAGATTTTGAGATAACAGGAAATTAATCATTAATACACACCTTATTGCCAAGATACTGGGTTGTTTTGAGGAAAAAGGAAACCAACTTCTATTGGCTGGATTAATAATGTCATAGGTCACACGTAGAATTATTTCCCTTTAAATTCTATTAACTTTTCTCAAATTTAGCAATTTTAATAAAATTAAGCCTGTTTTTGAACAGAACTGGCATAATACTGAATATGTGGCATAGGATTCTGATGATTGAAATGGTCTCATATGAATAGAAATAGGCTAGAGTGCTGATAATGCCAAAATGGTGATTAGCACTTGAATATGCTCTCTTGTATTTACTATATTACCCCATGTACATCTATTTTATATAAATGAATAAAAAAAATAAAAAAATCTCTTAGAGATGATGACCTACTGAGCTTTTGTGAGATTTAAGTTAAAATGGCATACTGTGATAAGAACAAGTACAGTGAATGTTTCAGAAAAGATGAGATTTCAGTTGGAAAGTGCATCACTTTACATCATCTGAACTTAAACCAGGGGATGCAAAACAAAAGTCCTAAAAGCAAGCAAGACTGCATCTTTAATGGTAGAATCAAATGGTAAAATGAATGGTAAAATAAAAGATAAAGGCACAACATAGACTAGATACAGACCTTAATCTGGCACACGGGGAGAGCACAAGCCTTAATAAGTAGAAGAAAGCAAAAACTAAGTGCAAAATTAGTAAAAGGTAGGAAAGACAATGTAATACAATAATATAGCATGGATGAATTTAAAGATTAAGTCCAAATATCAACTAAAACAAAGCTTTTTTACTTAAAAACTAACCCCCTCCCCAAATGTTATTTCGGTTGGTTTAATTTTACATAATGATATTCTTACAAAAAACAAACAAATGAGCCTTCAAATTTTCCCAAACATAAAATGTACTTCACATTCCACAAGGCTGGTATTGATATTTGAACATAGCCTCGTATCTATGGTGATGTTAATAATGATTGTGAGAAATGTCTTCACACCTGCCCCATAAATTTAACAGTTATCAAAATTAATTATTAAAGCCATGGGTTTCAAGAAAAATATTGAAAACAAAGCTAGTAAATACAATGAACAATGACAAGCAAGCAATTGATGAAACTAGCAACCAACTACCAGGTAGTTGATTCGGCAGAGGTCTTTTATAATACTGAGGGAATAAGTTTTTACTGGAGACCTACATGTAAGTCTTCTTTGTGTAAATAATGAAAAGAGATGTATATATGGGAGTCAGTCAATCAATAAGTTAAATTAGTTAAAATAAGGTGGATTGCAATTAAGCTGTTCAGAATTATGCAAGATAATTTGGTTTATTATAATGAAGCAATTAATTAATTACATGCATAATCAGTGTTAAATGTTTTTGCCCTAACCTGTATAATAATACACTAGCAAAGGAGTGTAGATAGTAATAATAATAATAAAAACCAATACTTCATTATGTAACTATAGATGTAACTATTCTAAGACTCCATAAGTACAAGCAAATTTTCACAATGGTCATCATTTAAGGATTTAAGCAACAACTAAAAGTAAAAAGAATGGAAACAAGCAAAGAATAAAAACACACTACAAGGGTCATTCAATTATAAACCAAATCAAGTGTAAAACCAAATACTTCAAAATGATTTTTATTAAGGCAATGGTGACTTCACAGATTTTTAAAGTGTGGGCTTTTTGTAGGGGGGAGGGACATGAGTAAGAAAGATAGGGGTCTCATTAGAGGAAACATGGTTTCAACTTACCCTCAGGGACGTGAACTGATGGTAGCGCCATTTACGGAAGCCCCAGGCAGCCAATTGATATTCTCTCTCAGTCCATGTACATTCACCTATTAACAAAAGATACGTAAAAATACAAATGAAAATGTTTGAAGATTCAATAACCTCTATTATCTATGGAGAGAGTAGATCCACTTCTACAAACATTTCATAAACTATAGTAGTAGAGCTCGAGTAGAGCAGACGTGTATTATGGCAGCTCCGCCCGATACCGATCACATCGAAAGGATTCTGTCAAGATTATCAGAAGAAGACAGAGACACTATTATCAATGAGTTCATGGAAGTAACTACGCCTGAAGATTACGAACCACTGAGGATTCTGTATTTTGGATATGCGAAAGAAAGATTATTTAACATTTACTTGGACAAATTCGGCCCCATTGCTGGACGAAAGCAAAACGAAATTCCGATTTTGACACTAAAAGCACGGAAGGGAGTGAACAAGGATGTCTCGTTTTTGAATGACATTTGTGATCTATATATGTATGGTTCGAACATTTCGGACACTTTCCCACGTCAGACGATCTCTGCGACAAGTTTTCTACCGAATCTGGGTTCTTCTGAAGCTGATACAATCACAGATCAGTCGACGCGCTCAATTGAGATCGACACACGGGTTGTTTGTCTTAGCCAGCGGGTAACTGAATTGGAACGTATGGGAGACTCGAAGGATGAGCAGATATCAAAGATGCAGAAGGATATTGCAGAGCTCCAGCAACAGGTACAAAGGTTGCTACAAGCAGGTCAGTGTGACTTTTCTAAACGTACACAAAAAAGCGCTACTGTAACTGTACCAACGCAAACTTTATCCACGCTAAATTCTAAGCCGGCCAATAATGGGACTAATAATTCGACTAACACGCCAATAACTGATTCACACCTGAATAACAATACTTTGCCTATAAGTGACCTCGCTAATAGGCAAAACTCACTACGTAAGCCTTCTGAGCCATGCGAGTCTGTCGCTATACCGCCATCTTTGAAAATCGCCTCGCAACCGCCGTCTGCAAAGTCAGTGCAACCAGTGCCTAATGTATCGAAACCTGTCACTTATTCTAGCGTAGTAAGTGAAAACATAGATGATTGGTCCATTGCTGGCCCTAAAGGTCGCCATTCCCCTCCCCCAACTCAACCTAAAGAGCCTCGACTTCAAGCCCACGGTAAATATAACCCTTCGCAACAACGCCGGAAGATGGTTACCTTAAAGGGGATCCAAGAAGTCGAAGGTGCTTTCGTCTACGTCAGCAACATTCGTAAAGATGGGAACGTTAGCGATGAGGACCTCCGTTCCACGATAGTTGCGTATGTTAAACAAAGAGGCATACGTGTCATGAAAGCAGACATCGTACATAACCGAGTTTGCGATGATAAGGTTGGATGCAAAATTCATATTCCCAATGATCAAGTTACCCTAATACTTGGCGAAAATTTCTGGCCAGACGCCGCTATAGGTTGCCGAAGATGGGAAAAACGAACAAGATATAATAATAAAAATTCTACTTACCAACGTGCTAATGCAATTCCTGTCTTCACAGGGCACACCTATTCTAATGCGCGTGGCTATCATGCACAATACGATCCATACAAAACTGATGATGACTATGCATCAGACTGCTTCGCGTTTGACGAAACTGATCGACAACAGGCTGTTTAATATGTGTGAAAATCTAAAACACTTGCTGTTTCTCATTTTATTTTTTGCTTTATTCAATAAACAGACCATAGTTTTTAACAATCAAGGTAATAGTGAGTTAAGACTAGCACAATGGAATTGCCGAGGTTTCAATGTATCTACTCTATATATTAAACATTTATTGTCACAATGCGATATCTTGGCTCTCTCAGAGCACAAACTCTATCCCTGTAACAGATTCAAGCTTGACTCCGTGCACTCGGACTTTCGGTGTTACAGCACAAGTAGCAAGAATCTAAACGATTTTAACTGTGGTAAAATATGGGGAAATGGTGGTGTTGCTATTTTCTGGCGTGATTCGTTGAGCAATTATGTTATTCCTGTTAAAAATATGTCAACAGACAGGATCGTTTGTCTAAAGGTATCAATAGTGCAAACTGCGCCTATTTATATATTTTCTGTTTACTTACCTCAACAAAATTGTGAAATTGACATGTACGACGATGTTTTATTCTCACTCGAACACTTTGTGCAAAAGGCTAGCATGGATGGCAGTGTTATAATTCTTGGCGACGTAAACAGTAATTTGGGCACGCTTACGGGTTGTAGGGGTCATGGTAATCCCTCATCTAATGGTATCAAATTGTATGATTTTATGCAACGAAATCTTTTGACTGCAATTGATATGACAGACTTAGCATGTGGTCCAAGACATACATTTGAAATGACTCGAAACAATGCTCTCCATGTTAGCTATATTGATCATGTCATTTTGTCTTACACGTTACGTGAATGTGTTTTATCGTGTACAGTCCTGGAAGATGAGCCTGACAATACATCAGATCATCTTCCAATTCAAACTATATTAAATTTAAATGCTCAAATAGAACGTTGCCCAGATATTGAAGCCCCAAAAGGATTTGCTTGGAACAAACTCAACTGTAATGAAATAAAGGACTCGTACACTAATTCGGTTACATTGAAATGCAACGATATTTTACTTGAACTGCGTTCTATCTTGTCCAGTCGGACACTAAACGCAGCAGAAATCGATCATTTCATCAATAGAATAGTAGAGAGTTTAATTTTATCATCAAATGCTCATATACCAAAGAGGAAATTCCTGAAATATGTTAAGCCCTTTTGGAACTCCACTTTGACGTCATTAGCTAAAGATAAAAAGGCAAAGTGGCATAAATGGGTGTCTCAGGGTAGATCACGTGACCCTTCAAATGATGTTAGAAAACAATATAAAGAGTCAAAGAAAATATTTTCAAAAACCTATCAAGCTGCACAGCTTGAGTATGAAAGAGAGGAATTAGAAAAATTGTATACATCAGAACAATCAGATCAACGCTTTTACTGGTATCTGGTCAATAAACATAGAAGATCATCAAAGAAATCTGTTAATCCAGTACTTGCCGACGACGGCCATTTAATTACAGATGCTAATGAAATCAGAGAACAGTGGAAGTGCCATTTCGAAAAACTAGCAACCCCTTTAAACAAACCGACGTTTGATAGTCATTTTAAATACGAAATTGAAAACAAGGTCCAAACAATTTTTAACAGTATATCGAATGATAGCACTATTTTTAAAATTACTCCTGACATGGTTCATAGTGCAATAAAAGCTCTCCATTCAAAGCGTGCATGTGGTTATGATCAGATCAGTGCAGAACATCTAAAATATGGCGGGGATTCCATGGTCCAAACAATTTCAATCATCTACAATATTATACTTCAGTCAGTCTACATTCCATGTAACTTCTGTATCGGCACAATGATCCCTCTTGTTAAAAACGGCAAAGATCCACTTGTAAAAGACAACTCAAGAGGTATTACGCTCATGACAATGCTTCGTAAATTATTTGACAACATTATTTTAACTCATGTAAAAGCACCCGTACTAAATGCTATCCCTAAATTACAAGGGGCAGCTGTCGAGAAATGTTCATCAATCCATACATCATTACTTGTACAAGAAACTATTTCTGAAAATGTAGAACAAGGTAAAATGGTAGTTTTAACAGTAACAGATATCCGAAAAGCTTTCGATTCTGTATGGATAGATGGCCTTCTTTTTAAACTTCACAACTGTGGTATTGGCGGTAAGATATGGAAAATTTTGTATATGCTATATAAGCGGTATAGTTGCTCGGTTTTAGTAGGAGGAAAATGCTCTGACTTATTTCCAATATTACAGGGTGTCCATCAAGGCGGTGTCCTGTCCATGCTATTTTACCAACTTTATATGGCAGATATAATTGACTCCATGATTAAGCTAAACAAGGGATCAACCATAGGTTCGTTAAGTTGCGTTAGTCCTTCATATGCCGATGACATGTGCATCTTGTCGAATTCCTTTGAAAACATGCAAGTGCTACTTGATCTACTTCATGCTCATAGTAATCAGTGGAGATATGAAGTTCATCCCGATAAGTGTTCGTTTCTCGTTTTTAATAGTAAAATCGAGCTAGGTGCAACTCAGAAACTTAATATCGGAGGTAAATCAATTGCAAAATCTGACTATGTGAAGCATGTCGGAATCCCAATTTCAACAAATAATGATATTTCTGATTATGTACAGGATAAATGTAAGAAGGGCAAATCGCAGTACAATGCTCTGCTCGGTATAGGTAGTGGCTGCGGAGGCCTAATCCCAACATCTGCATGTCAAATATACAAAACGTACTCCATACCTACAATGACATACGGTGCCCATATTATCAACTATCAACAGAATGATATAGTTGTTCTAGAAAAGACACAACGAGAAATAGGACGGAGAATTCAATCTCTGCCTCACTCAGCTAGTATTCCCATTTCAACTTTGCCCCTGGGCCTAATGGACGTTGAATTTTATATTGACTTTTTAAGAATGATGTTTCTCTGGAGTTTATTGCAACTCCCAAGCGCAAATATATATAAATGTCTTTTCACAATGAGATTTGTAAAAATGCTGCATGTTAACAATGAATGTAATACCTTCTCTCCAATAAAATGCATGTTACTGACATCAAAAAGGTACGATTTACATAACCATGTTCTAAATATGGTAGACTGTAAAATGTTCATCCCCAAAAATAGGTGGAAGAATATTGTGTATAGACAAATCGCAGCCGTTCAGATGCAAAGGACATTTTTCCAATCGCTAATGTACAAGGGCCTAAACTATTTTAGAATGGGTAACTTTGAAATTCTGAGGCCAATTATATGGTGGAGAGTTGCAAGAATGTTCCCTTTTGCTTTAAGTAGTTGTAAAATAATGGTGAAACTGCTAGCAGATGAACATGCGCTTAGATCAAAATATAGAGGTTCCGAAGATAAATCAGTTATATGCTCAATGTGCAGCACTTATGAAAAAGAAGACGTAGATCATTTCTTACTTAAATGCCCAGCAAATATATATATTATTTATAGAGAACAACTTAGTAATCATTGCTGCGAATGGGGTATCCAAATGAACACTAAAAACATTCTTGGCATAGGAATTGAAGAGTTGCACTTTACAAACGAACAACTACTTGTATTTTTAAAAGATATGGCATATATAGTTATGCAACAATATTTGTGTCGTCAACGGTACTTGACAGGCTTACAAACTTAATGTAACTTTATCAGCGGGACAGGGTGGCCCTCAAGGGAGGAACATGGGCCGACCAGGGGGTAATATGCAATATGTATTTATTCTGAGTGTACCGACCTTGGGGAAGGTACAATAATAAGCAAAGCTTTATGTTTGTTTTTTCTTGATTGGTAGTTGCAACGTCAACGCGGCAGCCTGACGTATTTGCAACAAACGATTATATCTCTTAAGCAGCTAAATACATTTTAGTATTACTCGCATATTTGTATTTATATTTATGTACACTTACTATACACACTAATTTAGAATTGCAACATAGGGCAACACCACCTTTCTTCAATTTACAAAAATTGTATATTTCTTTTACTAGTTTACAAGATATTGAAAGCATCTCATACTTTCATACAGTACTGACTTTGGGGAAGGTATGATGATACGCTATGTCTTCCTTTTTATCTTTATAGAAAATGCAGATCCATAATGTCATTATTTATTAATCTCAAGAGTGTTAGGTAACAGGTCTATCTAGGCCTACGGCGTGCGTCTACGCGGTAGCTAGGCGTCGTCGTCAGTACAAAAAACAACAACAAAACAATGAATGTTTGTAAATATAGTCATTTTTTTATAATTGCGTTACAATTAGGTGCTAGGCCAATTTTGGTTGGCGGCGTGCGTCTACGCGGTAGCTAGGCGTCGTCGTCAGTCAAAAACAGCAATATTGTTTGTTTGTAAATAGTGATTATTTTTAATTTAACATTTACATAATTTGTATACATGTATCTCCTTTATATAAAGGGCAATAAATATATACATACATACATACATAAGGCCTCTGATAAATCAGAATGTTCTCTTGTTCCTTTTTAAAAATTTTTACAATTCAACGTTAAGAAACTTACTAAATGCTTCGTCATCAGATATAAAGTCATCGGGAGTCATTGATGACATCATTGACTGACGCTCCACCTGCTCTTGTAAGTTGGCGATTTTGATCTCATAATCCTGGAAATAATACATCAAACAATCCTCAAAATTTGACCTAACACATAACATATATTATTCCAGTAATAATTCCACGGGTCCTAGTTTTTTAACATTTTATTTACTATTTTGAGTGGAACACAACTTCTATATATTATTTTGCACATATTACTAAATAAATTAGGACCATCAACACCTGTAATTTTTAGAATCATTCATCTTGCACTTTTTGAATTGTAAGAAACATTGCACTTGCCCTCTCCCTATACATATGGAGACCAATAATGCCCTTTTGGCACCTAGGCCTGTACCACCAATGTTAATTACATTTAATATGAAAATTATAGTAGTAATAATAAAAAAAATCAATTATCTAAAATATTTCTAAAATGTAGGCTCCAAATGAATCAAATATATTTTTTGATTGCAGGATCTAATGTTTACCTCTGAAGATATTAGTATCAACCATTCATAAAGTAAAACATTACAACTTGATACAGGCAGCAAATGAAAATATGGCCATAATGCCATCATGTAGAATAATAAGTCATTTAGACCTCAGAATGCAACCTGTTTGCAACCCCCATCTGACAAGTCACAGCATGGACAAATAAAAATTAATACCGTGGGTACTGGGCTCACATGGTGTTGCTCAAAAGTGAATGATGGCTAAAATGGCAGAAAATAAAAAAATAGATGTAAATTTTGCCAATTTTTTGTAACAAAATTATTTCATACATACTCTTTACAGTTACATGGGTTTTTACAATGCAGGACACATGAAATTATTTGTTAAGCTAGGAAATGGGCCAAAAGTGAATTCTGCGAGACAAAAATGGCGACCATTTTGAAAATAGGCAAGCTTTTGAACCAGGAGTCATAGGGGGTCTTCTATATTGATGTTGAACAAAAATAACTTAAAACGGGAATCCTATTGACAGAGGTTTTAAAACTGGCCAATTGTTGACAGACAGACAGACCGACAGACGGACACGTAAGTGATTGCAATAGCTCACCAGGTGAGCTAACAAAATGAGAAATTGAATATAACATTGTCTAACTTAGCAGTTGAAAATGCCTAAAGCTAATCAATAATAATTGTCTTGCTGAATACATCTGCCAACCTATCTGCTGTATTACAATTGCAATCAAATAGGTAGTGAATAATTCCAGATGTATAAACATTTCAGAAGAGGTATCATCAGAATGAAGGGAAAAATCAAAGCAACATTTTTAAGTGCTGTTATCGCTACTGTGATTTTCTTTTATATATACAGGCCATTTGTTATGGATGAACGAAGACAAGAACATCAAGAACAAAATTTGAATCGAATCAATAAAGAAAAAGATTTGGTTTCTATTCAAAAGAATAGAGACCATAAAGAAAAAGTGATTAAAGAAATACCAGTAGATAAATTTGACATCAAAGGTGTGTCTCTCAAAGCTAATGTCAATGAAAGAAATGATGTCAAGGAAAAATCTGATATAAAGGGGCTGTCTCTCAATGAAGACAAAGTTGACATCAATGGAAATACTGATGTCAAGGAAAAATCTGATGTCAAAGGAAAATCTAAAACCAAGGAAGCACTTCTTGTCAAGGTAGAGGCTCAAACCAAGGATTTATCTAAGATCAAGAAAGTACCTGATATAGGTCCCATTAAAACTACTGACAAGTGGATAATCGTTACAAGTATATCCTCTCCAACAGAAGATGTCAAAAGTTTGGCAAAATTGTCAGAATGGCAGCTACTGGTTGTTGCTGATACAAAAACTCCAAAAGACTGGCAGTAAGTATGTTCTATATCGTGTTCAATGTTCAACTTGTACAATTTTTTCCCATGGTATCAATAAGGTAATTTTTCAGGACTATGATCATAATAGTAACCTTTTGAACAGTGCAAAATGTTTTAATGTTGAAAAGTTTCACTCAAATGAGTTATATTCTCCAATTAATTGATTTCGAGGTAATTTTGACCTTAAAATGATTCACACAGATTATCAATATAATTTTGACCTTCCTGAAGTAAGTTCTAGCCTTGAGTACATGTATTTGAACTATTCTTCTTAGTCCAGGAATGTAGAATGTAACATAAGACACTGAGTTAAATGTCATTTTTTAAGTCACCTGTTATGATGTGGAATATAGGCAAAGACTATAAATATGAAATTTGACTTAAAGTGCCATGCCCATTTTTCTCTCCCACATCTCTTAATAATATTTATTAAATACCACTTGGCTATGAAAGTAACTAACTGTAGACTAATATCCAGTTTCTAAGATATTTTGGAAAAATTATATCTGAATAAATATATTTCCCGAAACTTTACTTCTTTGTATTAAATTATCCTCTCATCAATGGTGAACTATTATGAGTAACATTTGAAGGACCACGAGTTGTTTGTAGAATGAATCGGGGTACTTTTTTCATGCATTTCGCTTGTGTTTTTCACCCAGAAACATCAATACACTTTAAAACATATAATTGACTATAATATCGCACCATATAATCCAAAAAAATATTTTTCATTTTCGAGGATTATCTCTGGATTAACACCCAGATATTGTTATTTTTCAAACATCAGAGGGCTAAGTACAATCGCTTTTGAATAATATTAATGCTGTTTTTGAATAGGTTTCATGTATGCCAATAATTTCTCAAATTGTGTAAATGGTACCCCTTCCTTAATCCATAGAATTTTCTCTTTGACGAATTTCCCATAGTAATCCAATGGTATCATTTCAAGCAGATTTTGAGGTAACAAGATAACAGGAAAGTTAATCATTAATACACACCTTATTGGGTTGTTTGGCTTATATAACAAGCGAATGAGGTGTGTATTAATAATTAACAAATCATAATTCACATATTTAACCCCTGGTGAAATAATTAAATGGTTAATTAGCACGGTGGGGAATCAAATCAAAGACACAGTCGTGAACTACAACTCATGAAAAGACTACTCTTTGTCCATTGTTCATACATTGATAAGAAAATATAAGCAGTTGTCCAGATTAAGTTGAAACAGTAGAAAAATTTTGCTTTTTCTTGTAAAACCTGTACATATAATTCAACTTTACTACACATTTGAAAAGATTTTCAAATAATAAATTGAAGCCATTATAAGAAAATGACCCCTCCCTATTCAAAAATGTTTTGACGAAGCTTTATTCACATTGAATACGATACAACATCAGTTGACCAAATGAGAGCTTCAGGGTCCATTGCTTAATGAAAAAAAAAGGATTTAATGAATAACACAATTTGCCATTTGAAAAGATTTTCAAGCTTGATTGAAACTCAAATGCAGTGTATAACTCATTTTGATGCTCTCAACATCTTTCTCCTTACAACTAGAAATATGCTCTGATTTAGTTGGTTACAATTTGCAATCTAGTATCATCAGAAAGGAGGGGTAACCAAAGGGCAAATTGTGTCATTCATTTAATCATTTTTTTCATTAAGCAATGGACCCTGAAGCTCTCATTTGGTCAACTGATGTTGTATTCAATGTGAATAAAGCTTCGTCAAAACATTTTTGAATAGGGAGGGGTCATTTTCTAATAATGGCTTCAATTTATCATTTCATAGTCACATTATTTGTTCAATATGAATCAAAAACAAGAAACCTTATATAGAGACATTGATGATAAGATTAATGTAATGCGCTTGCCCGCATTCCCAACAGCACAAGATTCTGAAAAAGTGCAATAAAAACAACATAAACGCATGAGTATAATGGCATGAAATAGCAGTAGTATAACGAACATTAATTTCTTAGTCTCATGTCAAAAAATAATTCTTTGCTGGGTTTGGTTTATTCTCTTTGTCATTCTAGATTGAAATATCTCGTGAAATAAGCTTGTTTCTCGTAAAATAAGCTCGTTTTTCATGAAATAAGCTCGTTTCTTACACTTACATTTCTACTCGGGGATGAATTATATTTCTAGAATTTGGATAATAAAAATGTGATTGTTTGATGTATTATGACCAATTGACCATGTTCATTAAGTATTAATTCATAATAACACTCATAAACTTGCAAGAAAAGAGACAATAAGAGATGTTCTAAATTATTCACATGCCCTCAAACCACCCCAATGATTTTTTAGTAAAATTTGATCCAAAGGGTTTGTGTTTCTAATAAAAAATACATAACTTATTTGTATATACTTGAGCGCTACAAACAAAATTAAATTCCTTAAATCAGAAATGAATAAGAGAGACAGGCAATTTGCTATAAAGATAAAGTTGTCACATAAATCATTATGTCTACAATCAACAACTCGTTTTTCAGACTGGTTGCCTAAACGACATTTAACAAGTAGACTCAGCTTAATTTAAGATTAACATGCCAAAACCAGATAAAAACTTTTATTTGGAATGATCATATCAATAATTAATTCATCCAATAGGCATAGAAGGATTTCATAAAAGCATTCGCATGTTTTAGATCGACATGCTACTTAATCACCATATTGAAAAAACAACCTTAGACAGTAATTCTAATATGATTAAAGATTTGCATGTACTGAGCCTGAAGAATGCAGGATACTTGTGGAGGGGGTTCTTCCCATTTCCATTAACAATTTGAAGTGGATAATATATACTTGTTATAAGAAGCAATAATGATCAGAACAGCTCCCAAGGAACTAAAACAGTAGAAGAAAGCTCTTAGACCTGATTGGAGAAGTTAAAAAGTTAAGTTTGCAAAAGTTAGCCTTTCCATATAATTCACAAGGTGATGTTTTAATATTCATGAATATGATACATGCTAACAAGGAAATTGCTCACTGGATTGACCAAAATTGTTCATTGTAGACAGGTAATCCCTACAGAGAGGGTCCATGTTTTGGCCGAACCCCAAAAACCAATTTGCTGAATAAGCAATTAATTATTGTAGATGATGAATTTCTGATGTGATAGTAGAGATGTTGCTTCAAAGAGCATATATTCAACATTCACCAACTCCATTTTGTAGCATTTACTATCTGCAAGTTTGGCTCAATATCACACAACTAAATTTGTATAAAACAGTTGTATTGTGCAGTAGCTTGTCAGATGAAATCAACTTTTGTTGAAAGATAGCATTAGTGTCAATTGGCAATTTATATCAAACAGATTAATTTTTAAAAAAAATATAAGGGTAAACAGTTGCAGAGATGTTGCAGCGTGTCACCAATCAGCTTATTCTAATCTCATTGATATAAATCTAAGCTCTTCAGAATCACATATTGGATTAAGCCATTCATATCTCTGAAAAACAATGGTAAGCACAGAGTAAATAAACAATCTTCCACTTTCCCTCTGTACATGTGAATTTTCAAAATGTTCCTTGTTCCCAGTTGACAGGTGTTCCTTACAGAGAGGGTCTGTAAAGGTGTAAGTCAATGGGAAAATATTTATTCTTTTGAAAACTGTTCGTTGTAGACAGGCGTTCCTTACAGAAAGGTGTTCAATTAGACAGGTTTTATACTCGTACATATGACATATCAAGTTCTAAAATACAATCTTCTTTTATACTTTCAGTTTGGATGGTGTTCTATTTTTGAGCATACCTGCACAGAAAGCTCTAGGTTATAAGGTACTGGACCATATCCCATATGGTGTATATGGCCGCAAGACCATAGGATACCTCTATGCAATACAGGTAGGCAACAATTGAAAAAATATGAATGTTAGTTTTTCATCACATTGAATGACCTTCTTTTATATATTACCATGTGAGCTTTTTCAATCCTTGATCTCCCTACCAATGGTTCATAAGAAGACGTAATGAATGAAAAGTTAAGTTTATGTTTGTTCTTGTATTTGTTGTATATGCGACAAGGCAAAACACATCAGAATGTTATCAATGTTAATTCTTGACTTTCAGCATGGTGCAAAAATTATTTATGAAACAGATGATGACAACCATCCAACTGATGAACTCAAAGGTTTCATTACAACTGACAAGATGTATGGCGTTGTACCATCAACAAACACGACTGTTCTGAACGCTTACGCTTACTATGGACAGCCAACAACATGGCCCAGAGGTTACCCTTTAGACAAGATTGGGGACAATATCACAAACAAGTACAATGCAGTGCACTGGAATCGACCATTGATACAACAAGGGGCTGTTAATGGTGACCCAGATGTAGACGCCATCTTTAGGCTTACCCGCAAATCAAACTCTAAACTACTAAGTCTAACATATGATGAGTATATGCCACCGCTATATTACCCCAGAGGGACATTTGTTCCATTCAATTGCCAGAATACTCTCTACCATTATGATGCATTCTGGGGTCTCTTTCTGCCAAATTCAGTGACATTCCGTGTAACTGACATATGGAGAAGTTACTTCACGCAGACCCTACTATGGCTAATAGGTGGCCATATAGGTTACATGCCCCCTAATTGTTACCAGTTTAGGAATTATCATTCCTACATTAGTGATGCCAAGCAAGAGCAGAAGCTGTATTATCAGGCAGGTGATCTTGTCCAGTTTTTATCAAATTGGAGATGCAAATCCAACAATCTTACTTCATGTATTCAAATATTAGCAGACGATATGGCTCACAAAGGATTCTGGGACATTTCTGATGCTAAGCTGGCAGCCGCATGGTTACAAGATCTTGTTTCCATTGGATATAAATTCCCATCGATGACAACAGAGCTACTAAATGAACCAGTCAAATTTCAAATTACTCTTCAAACTGAAAACAGATTCCCAGTGTCCCTTCCGTCCAGTCCAAAATATTCAAATATTGGAGAGAAAAAATTTAAGATCAAAGCTCTACTTGACAAGACATGCTATAAGACACATGAAATGAGACAGTCCAACAAGATCCAACAGATACAGAGAAATCCCATTTTATTGCTGGTAGTATTTAACACCCCGCATTATGAGAACATTCCATATTTGGAAGCACTCTATGAAAGTCATTTTGTCAAAACAATATACTGCGGCCCAAAATTTCCAGGTAAAACCTTTTTCAAGGATTGGGATATTAATTTTATAACGTTTGATGCAAGTAAAGAGTCACAAAATAAAAACCGACCTGGTAGTTTCAACTATGAGTGTCTACTGAAGGCCATGAAGTTAGGCATCAGAGTGAAAGGAGTACTGACAATTGCTGATGACTCTATTATGAAAGCCAATACAATCAGTAAGCTACCTATGGATGAGATTTGGTATGATTCGAGAAGTTTTGAAACAGAAAAAGAATTCTCTAGAATATTGAAAGAAACATCTAACGATACCAAGAAAAAGAAAGAATTTCAACTGAGATACAAAGACTTCAATTATAGAATTGCATCACTGGAAAATCAAAGAATAAAATCTTGCAATATTTCAAACTTGCGAGACAAATGTCACCTCAGTCCATTTAGACCATACTTTACTAAATATGAAATAAATATCAGAAATGCATTTAATGAGCTCTACCGATTACAAGACACAAACAAACTGATTAAAACATTTCTTGCTGGACTTTCCAAAAATTTACTTGGTATGAAAAGAGTTATAACTAGGCCATCTGATGTGTACTACATACCACAAAAACATTTTGAGATGGTAATCCCTGTTGCAGAGGCTTTTCACAAACACAGAGTATATATTGAAATAGCTGTTCCAACGATACTTCATGCCCTAGGTGTGAATTATAGCAACTTGGCTGTGAGTGTGTATAACTATGACTACGGCAAGACACGCGAGAAACCATGGATACGATTCCCAGCTTTTCTGAACAGCACTGTAACATTCATGCATCCAGTGAAACTGAGTGGTATAGCCCAGAACAATAGCAACATAACAGAGTTATTTTGTGCAGCCATGGATAATCAGCAATTTATGCATCCCATGTAAATAGTGTTTCATAATATGAAAATCTGCGCTAACTCTAACACTGGTATTTCAGTAATTGTAAGCCATGTTATTAAATTTATCTATTTATTGATATATATTTTTCTCTAATACGACTATAGAGTCATGCATGCAGGGGAATTAAGGGATAATATTAAAGTTGAAATATGTAGCATTCTTTTATTTAGTAAATGGTGTTTTATATTTAGCGTGTTCATCAAGTGTAAGTAGGATTAAAGATTCTTCTCATACAAATAAGGTGAACATTTTTATTATTTTATTGTAACGCTCATAATTTTAGCCAAGACTTTTTTTATTTATTATGTACAGTACTTCAAATGAAACTTATTATCATTACTTAGTGATAAATTGTAGAATGGTGAAATAAAATGGATAACATAAAAAATGACTTTAATTGGTCAAGTTGAGATCAACAGATTTGCAGTATTGTATTTCGGGGATACAATTGTGACAGTTGACCTCTGGAGAGGTCAATAAATTGTATATTGCTCACCTTTCTCTGCTGTTCAAAGGCCTGGACAGCTTCTTCCTTCTCTCTTCTGTACTGTTCCTCCATCTCTCGAAGTCTAAAACATAATAATCTTTACTTGAACAATTGATCATCAATACTAATAACACTTTAAGTTAAATCGACAAAAATATGATGGTGATATAGAATCTGCAACAGATCTGTTTTAAAACCATTAGAACTGTTTCTTTATGCATCATTATCTACATTTAGATGACATTCAGCAAATGTTTAGTTCTGTTAATATTTGAACATGGAGATGTACTTGTCTCATACTTGTATAGTAAATACAAGCAAAAAAACAAGAAGCATATTTACTTGATTCCCATTTCTTTCTTAAGGTCAATTCCTTGTTTCTCTAAAAGTTCCAGCTGTGCAAAGTTCCAGTCAACTGGCTCCCCACCTAAAACAAACATATAAATTGTATGATTCCATAATAACATGTTTTTCCTGGGAAATAAACAGGGAATAGAATTGATATTAAAATCAATCCCATATTGGGTAAAATCCTGTATCAAAATTCATATCCCATCCCTTCCATTAAATAACCTCTACTTATACAAGGGCTATTGCAAAACTTCCTTCACGCCTATCATTATAAAAAGATGAAATGTATATGTAGTCATTTGGTAAATTTTTTCTTCAAGCATTTTGTGGGGTTGAGTAATTTAAATTACATTAGTGTAAAATAAAAAAAATGAAATGCTGCTAATTGAGAAATTTATCTCGCTAAGCATAACATTTTTACACTCGCAAAACAACAATAGGAAACAAATGACATATATACTTAGTAGCTTTTGCACATCTTGACCTTGAGGCATTATTATACAAGCCATTAACCTTGTAAATAATTGCAAATTGTTACAGATGCTAAATTCCGAACTTCTGATGGTGACATAAATATGAATGATAATTAGCTGACAATATTTGAACTGTAAACACTTACTGCTTGGGGTATCTAATGGAGATTTCTTCTCTGCCGCCCTTTCTCTTGCTGAAGACAAACCAAAAATAAATAACTTATATCTTGAAAGTCCATGGTTAAATAATGCTCAACACATCTTTATATGGTTCACAAGATTTTTACAAGGGTGACTAGAGCAGTATTTATGTTTTGTAGGAAAATTTTGAAATGTTGATGATTAAAGTAACTTTCAATGATTTCATCAAAAAATTAAAACCCTTGGAAATACTAAATATGGTTTAAGTGCCATATATAAAATTTATTTCAGAAATATTGTGGATCAAAATGAAAACAAAACAAAAATAAAGAATAAAAACATATTCCACCCTTGGGATTTGAACCCAGATCTTTTGGAATAAAAGACTGACTGAGTCCAAAGCTCTAACCACTACACCGAAGTGCCAAGGCTTTCTGAGGGAAGAAATTCTTTATCTATATAATCATGGACGAAAAAAGTCTTATTTACATGCTTAAATTTCTTAAAAATGATCAGCATTACTACTAATAACAACATTTTGCATGTCTGAGTAAGTATTATGATCTACATTTAGGATAAATGTTGTTCTATTCAGTTTTCATTTTGGGTATGACTTCCTGTCAAAACAGTGTTAAAAATGCAGGGCTCAACAAAAAATTTCAATTATAAAATGATATATATCCTTTGATCAGCTGTTTTTGACACCTGAACTCATCTTACTAGAAAGGTAAGAGCATTTTCTTGAGACATATGGCTCGAAATCTCAAATTTCTCCTTCTAAGTCTTAGAAAGACACTTTAAGTGGACCCAGAGTGACATCTTTAAAGCAATTTGTAAACTAAACAAACAAGTTTATCCTCACTTGGTGCGTCATTCAACTTATTTATTACTGGGATTGAAGAGAAATTCTAATTAAAACATATTGCTATGGAAACAGAAATTACAACTCATTTACAATAACATATCAGGTTTAAGTTATTTTTATCCATGTTGTATTTTCAGCATTGATTTGTGGATTTTTGCTTCCTTTTATCAACTGATTTAGTAATCAGCAATAAGTAGAAAAATAGAACACATGGGACTATATAAGGAACATCTGATACATCAATATACCTGAACTAGAGATAACATAGGGATAAAATAAATTACCATTTCAAATAGTTGCGATTTAGTGAATATAAATGATTTGATAATTTGTGCTCGGATCATATATGTCTACCTTTATAAATAAAACATGGATTCTCCTCAATACATTTCCTCAACTAGACCCAATTCTTTTAATTTAAAATCTTAACTACATGTAGTTCCTGTAACAGATTAACTCAATCTTGAAGAGATCACTGATTTTTAGATTGGACACTCAGGAATAGAGACTGGACTTTTCAATAACATAATCTTTAGTTTAGAATAAGAGTTTAATATACAGTAAATGGCACCCCCTTGGTCCTGCCTTAGTATAAGGAAAATACTTGGGAGGTGTTGATGGTTGCATTGAACTCACCTTGTTCTGGGTGGTTGAACCTGAACACATGGTTCTTCCCAAGGATAACTCTAGCACCAGTCTTTAGTACAATGGGTTCAGTGACATTCTTCCCATTTACATAGCAGGCAGCATCTGGCATTGGAGTCAGTGTGACCACACCTACAAACAGAATGTTATATTTTGCATTCAATTCATTGAGATGTGTACATGTAAAAGAAAACCCATAGTACATGCATTATAAGCTCCAAGAATTGACAATCAGAAGATTAACATATAAACAAATTAAATATTGCTAGTCTTCAAAATAGTTCACTTCCAGGATCACTGAAAAACTTACAGGATGTAGTTCATTTTGTCATTTTTGTCAAATATTTTATCAATAACAGTAAACTTTTAGTCAATACCAGACTGTAAAATCAATCAAACAATAGTGAGACAACTGATTGAGAAGGTTTCCAAAATGCACATTATGTTTGATTAACTCTCATATGAGTGTCCAACCTCTGTACCTTCTTTATTTTCAAACTGGCAATGTTCAGGTAAAATGTTTGCCCCACTCAGCTGAATATCCATGTGTTCTTTAGAGTTAGGTTCTGGTCTACCAAGCATTGTTTTACCATCCTTTATATAATACAGCAAGCACTCGGACATCAGGGCATCTTCATTGAGATTAACCAGATGAGGCGTCTGTAAGGAAAAATATATTTAATTTTCAGTTGAATGTTTTTTTTAATGTTGACTTTTTGTCACATCCATTTTAATTTAAAATAACCAAGATCAACAACAAGATCATACATTCTAATTTGACCTCTCTGACATCTTTGTGGATGCCAGGAGTGAAGGGGACATTGCAGTCATATGGAAAGGAGTGTTCTTATAAAACACACATGTATTGTCTTGAATTAAATAACTTGTTGTAACATAATGTATTTCATAAAGTTTAGGAGTGCATATGTGAGAGGGTTGGTGAATATACAAGAGTTGGGGTGCAAGACGGTCAAAACCATAATACTGCCATAAGATTGACAGTGTATATGTAAATATTATACAGCATGTGCAATTAAATCAATTTAAAGGAATTATAATTCAACATACAAGTATTTCAATGAAAAAATAACACAAAATCCAACTAGAGTGAAATCTTAGATTAGAACACCTCTAGAAGTGGAACACTTTTCAGAGTCCCAAGACCGATTTACTTCATTTTAAATGGATCTCTATAAGTAGAATTGTACCAAAGGTACACAGGTTCTACTATATTACATAAAATTGTAAAAATGTTACAAAATTATCATGTTGGACATATTCTGCAATGTACAGATAAATTACACTGTATGATACAATACCTTGACTTTTAATGGGCGAAAGACGCCAGTAATGTGACCATCATCACGGAGTGCGATACCCATTTCAGCAAGTACCGACTCCCTGGAAAACATGGCACAGACAACATAAAACTATGACAATTCACAGTCTAAATTCTAAAAGAATACCAAAATAAAATATCTAGAATTTTAAAAATCACCCTGAAACTTCTAGATACTGTATTCTATGTAACATTGTGAGGTTGGAAGGACTGGAAAGAACACAAAAGATAAATGAATCAAAATGCCCAAACAAAATCTATTACACCATATTTGACCACATTTATGCCACATAAAAAGCAAACAATCAAAATATGTCACTGTAGTAAGTCTTATAAGCCTTCTTTTTATAAAATCTGAAAGATCTGGAAGCATTTCTATGTAACATATACCATAGACATACCATAGACATTATGCCTTTCACTTTTTGTTAATTCATCATTTCTTGATTGTGTTTGGACAGATTTTAAGCAGGATGAAAGAAGATGTGCTTTGAGGATATGACAATGACACTAGAGGTGGATCAGGTGACATGGTACTAGAGCAACCCTGATTATACATCCAATGATTCATTAGGCAAGGCATCAGATTTTTCTGCTCTGAACTTAAATCTGGTTCAATAGCAATAAACTTCCCAGTGTGAATTTACCCATCCACTTCTAAACTTAATACAAAAGTACTAAAGAGAATGTACACAATGATGAACATTAAAATGACAATATGACAGGTGAATTTATATCAAAGGGGTCAGGTGCTAAAAGATGTTCTAAACAGGTACATCAATCCATGTATGAAATGTCCCTAGAGTCATGCTTATTTACAGCCATTAATCTCTTGTTATAGCTAATATGTAAGATTAACAGACATATTTTTAAAATTTAGAGTGTTCCAGCTTGAAATCTCTACCACTCTATGCTTAATTTGGCATCTTAACTCATGACCATGGAAACATTTCATTGATGGAAAGAAGAAATAGAATGATGGGGTGACAGGTCCCTCTGATCCCAAGAATTCTGCTGGCAGGGAGAGCTGGAATATAACCATCACAGTAATTCTAACTAATACAATCAAAGAAACCAGAAAGTCTTGGATATTAGTCCCCTAGAAGGAGATTTCTTTTTTCCAGAATGAGTTCTGATTTCTTTGACTTGACATCAACTAAGTAAATCATATTTGGATTTTGGAATATTTCACATTTTTCTACCTTCTTTGGAGAGAAAACGCCCAAGGTAGCCCCGTCATCACGCATAGCGACCCCCATCTCTTGTAAGACTGTCTCTCTGTTAGGTTAGATGTAAGTGTTAAATACATATGCATAGAAATGAAAAAGGTTCAGCATGGTCACTTATTCATGAATGAAATGGTTAATGAATGTTTATGAATGTTAATGAATGTTCATGTTAAAAATGGTTAGTTCATTCTCCTATACATGCAAAATATACTTCCATGTTTGAAAAATAACATCTTTTACACTTACTTATAAATTACATATTAACTTACGGTATCTAAATTAATCTTCATCTAATTTTTGATTAATTTCATAAAATGGAAGTGTGGGTCAAAACAAACCTTTCTAATCTTATAGCCTCTGTCTTTTTTAACTTTTCTTCCCAGGTTTCATTCAATTCTGAAATTAATTTTTCTGACATTTTCAGCCTCTCCATTGCATCCTCTCCGCCCTCTATCAGCAATGATTCTTTACGATGGCGTTGTAATTTTTCAACATTTGCAAGGCCTGGAAAGTAAAAATATTTTGAGTTTCAATGAATATTACCAAATTAAGGGACAATGTAGAAGAATCGATAAACGCCTATAGAGGTATTGTAATTTGATACAAAAATCAATTTACTATATGACCCAAAAGTTCACAGGAAACGAAATGCTGAGATACAGAAAGCTCTTCACAAATTCACAAGGGCTTGTTCATATAATATACTAAAAATTTCATAATGGAACAATAATACAACCAATTGAATTTCCCCATATTTTTTTAGAAGAAATCCCCAGGCTTTACTGTTGTCATCATGATAGATTGATAGTCAGGCTCGTAGCCAGGGGGGTTCGGGTACCCCCCCCCAGCCAAAATTTCTTTCAAAATCATGCAGTTTTTCACCATTCTGACCATTTTTTGTGTGATATTTGGTAAATATGCCAAAGTGAACTCCCCCCTAAAATATTTGGGGAAAAGTGAACCCCCCCTTGAAAAATTCTGGCTACAGGCCTGACAGTTGAGGGGAATTTTGGTCATACACCATACCAGTTGGTTAATTGATTCTTGTACATGTCCCAAAAGTTTGGTAGTTAATCCAAGCAAAAGATGGCACTATGCATAGACTAAGAGAAGCATCTAGTATAGTACATTTCAAAGGGCAAGGTTAGCAGTTCATACACATAAGCTTGCATCTTACATATCATTAAAAATAGGTAACCTATCCACGAGGCATTTGTTAATTAAAAATTGAACACATTTATTTCAATAGATTAATGAATGAAGTTTTAAGTTATTTTTAGTGTGAAGTTATAACCATAAAGAGTAAGGATTATTGCAGGTTAGGGCTCATGCATTTATCATTCACAAAATGTGTTTACTTTTTGGCATTTCTGCTCGAGTGTTTACGTGAATCCTTTACTAGAGGCACTAAAGCATTTAAACTGAAGCAATCTTCTACAATGTATTATGATGGTCAGTACTACAATGAAATTTTTTCAAAATTTGGATAAGTGGGCCTTAAGACTTAAGAATCTGTAATTTCTGAACTTCTCACAGACCCCTCCCCATAATATAGTGACAGTGATTTGGCATGCAGTAACTGTTTTCATCAAACATGCACACCATAAAATCCTCCTCCTCCTATGTATCTTTCATGCAGTAGCTGAAATATATTTCTACAGATGACACTGTTCCAATTTTAGGTAAATTGACCTATTTGCCATGTTATAGCCATAACAAATGCAAGTCAAAAAATGAAAGCATGAAGCTTCTGATTGGGCGGGCACAATACTATTTCACAGTGAAAGCATTTCATTTTTCACATACGATTGCATCACATATAGTTCTTTAAACCTCTGCACTGTTTGAAGAAGATCTTCAATTAGACACTATTGAGCAAAAAGCAAATTATGTAAAAATTCTCCCGAAATGACATTAGCTATTATAAATAAAATTGTGATTGTGACGTTGTGATTGTGACATTGTGATTGCGACATTGAATTGTAAACATTCATAGACACCGACAGCTTAATTCGAAGCATGTTTAAAAGCAGAAATTCAATATTTGGGACTTCAGAAAAGAAAAAATTGTAAATTGAGAATGCGAATGAAGCTAAACACTGAAGGCAGACATGATGAAACTCCAAAGAGTAGCACTTCCCACCAAACAAAACACATTTTATTATGATAAATAATGGGTAGATGTATTGTTTCCCCTTGGGAATGAAACCATATTAGACATCTCTTCTCAAATTGAGGTCTTATCCCCATTAGGCAAGAGGCTGTAAGATTTGGACAAAATTCCTGAACTGGTATTTAAGCTACATCTTTTGCAATTCTGAATACAGGTGCAATCTTAAAATATCATCTTGAACAGAGGTACTTTGTCCCTTAAGCATCAGCATATGAAATGTGAACTGGTATTTGAGTTATCAAAGAGAGAATTTTGATGAAAATTGGTGGTCATTTTAAATTCAGTGGAAATATTGGAAAAAAAATTCCTCGAGCAGGGGCCATATGCCTATAAGACATTTGCCTATAAAATTTGGACCTAATCCAATAAATGGTATTTAAGCTATCAAAAAATTCATATTTTCTTAAAAATTGTCAGCCATTTTGAATTCAGTTGCCATATTGAAAAATTCTTCTTGAACAAAGGTCCTATGACTGCATTTGGAATTTCCTTCTCAAGCAGAGATTCTACATTCATGAGCCAATAATTTGACCTAATTTTTCACTGGTTTTTGAGTTTATGCCTCGACAGATGAACAAACAGATGAAAGAATAGATGGTTTCTGTATATCCCTCTCCAACTTTGTTCGGTGGGATAATCACTGTACTGAAGCTACTTCGAGATGTGAGCTATAGGATAATCACCACTTTTAGAGTCTGAGATTGGTTTATTTGAACTTGTATTATCCTCTTCACAGTCCATGGGCATACATGTCCTTTCTTCATTCTTTACACTCTTATTAGCTGGAAAATCACATGTCCCATATATCTTCAACATTTCATTAACTACCATACCTACACTTTAGCTAGCTTTTAATGCCAATATATTCACAATTAGTTGAGTTTATATACCCAATTAGATCTATTGTATAATATTTCTTGCAGTAAATGGCTAGCTAAAGCACTCTTGGCCAAACATGATCACAGTGGAGTCATCACAATTCTATGAAGATATCAGAGTTGTTGCTACCAGTATTTCTACAAATGATAACTTACATTTTATAAATATCTGTACTCTGGTGTATAGCAATAAACAGATGGCTATGCAACAACCAATCAGATTATGCATAATTATGCAAGTTAAAATGTTGTTGTTGTTGTTGTTATTAAAATGTTGATGAGGTTCAGCAATTACTCTCTTGGGAACTTGTGACACTCCACTGACTATGACATCACACAAATGACTGTGACATCACACCACTGACATTGACATCACATCTATGGATGTAATTATCACCCAGGAATGTGATACTGAGCCAAGGATTGTGACATCACACCAAAAGATGTGACACTGTGACCAGGATGACACCATACTAGAAATGTAACATCACACCAAAGACTGTGACATCACATAACCGTATATACAACATTCATCTTGGTCTTACTTCTTGGTCTGATAGCTGGGCTAGTTGGTATCTCTCCATTCTCCTCAACATCATTTTCAGCATTTTTATCTTTAACTGCTTTTTCTGCTGCAATTTTAGTATTGAAGCAAAGAGAGGTTATGTAAAGCATGCAAGCTGATAGTTATGTTAAAGGTTTTAGTTGTAAATATGTAAGGGATCAAATTAGCAAAAAAAAGCAACACAATATGTAATGTTAAAATTAGATCCTCAATCAACACCTATTTGAAGATCTATACAAAACAAGCAAATAAGTGATAAATATATCATATGAGTTCTATAAATCAGTCAAACACTATTATTTCATGTGAAATGAGTTAAATAAAATTCCATTCACAGTTATCTAATAATTCTAAGCTTAAAGAGACATGTAAAGCCTTTTGAATTATATCTTATATTAGAATAGATAGAGAATCATCTCAAATATATCCGATTCAAATCAGACTTTTGATCAACAATTTGGTTACCCTGAGTGCTTGGGTTAGTTATTCAACCCTCTGAGCCAATCAGAGAGCTTCCATGAGCCACATTAATGTGCACTTATTTATAGACACAGAATTTTATGGACAATCAATGACTGGCTCTGACGACTAGTAGGGTTATGATTGAGTAGAAAAGCTTGGCGGTCTATTGGTTATATAAAGAGTATAGTACAGGAAAACAACTCTTGCCAAGGGTGTAATTTGGTCTGAATTCATCTATTAATTTACCTTCCATCATGATGCCTTCTTTCAACAGCAGTTCTTTAAGTCTTTGCACCTCTTCTTTAAGTTCTCTGATCAGTTTAGCATTTGGATCCTCATTAATCTTGGCCTTGCACATGATCTGTTTGGCACGGTCAGCATACCTCAGGGTGCTCAATGTCTCGTCATAGTTAATATCGGCAGGAGAAAGGGCGGCTACCATAGCAGTCTTAGAATTACCACCTAGCACAAAAATATAAGTGACATAGTTCAAACTAATAAATAGAAACAGGGAGAAGATTTTAATGATTCTTAAAATAAGAGATCTGCTAACAATGAAATACTAGTATAGTATAGGAGTAACTAAGACCTACCAAGGTTCTCCCTGAGGAGCCATGTTAGCACAGAATCTCTGTATGGTATGAAATCTGACCGACGCTTCCTTTTGTTGGACTGGAACACAAACAAAAAATAAGACGATATATATATTTGAATAAAATAAAACAGATGTTCTAAAATATGGCTGTATTTATATAAAACAGGGAAGACTAAATTAGATATGGGAATTTCTCCACAGGGATATGATGCGGAAATTATTACTCAGTCAGATCAATTTAGACACAATGAACGCAACATAATTATTATTCAAGACACATCTTCATAATATTTAGATTTAATGTCCAAATTATATAATGAGATTTTCCATCTAATGTACTTCCTCCTCATTTTGAGGAATGGAATTGACAAGCAGAAAACTTGAGTATCAGCAGCATTAAAGATATTCATAAACTGAACCCCAAGGAATAATAAGAATTAAAATATAATGTATAAACAAATCTATCCTGCATCATAAAATACAGTCTGATTTGTAGAAGGAGAATGTGGTTCTCAAACAATACATGTATATGTGAACTAATATGTGTGAACTAAATCGATAATTAAGTCAAGCACTCATCAAAAAATCATTGGTAGTTTCATAAACATAAATAAACCCTAAGTCTTAGAGGTTTAACTTAAACAATGCCACACCTTTAAGATATTTTTCTAACATCTTTCTACATGTTTGGTCTCAGAATGAAGCAATTGTTTCTTTTCCAATAAATATGCACAATTCAAACTGCCTCAGATTTCATACTTCCAGACAAGTGTAGTAAATCAAGAGATATATCTACTTAATGTATAAAGACATCATGCAAATAGGTCAAATATGTCTCAAAGAATGGGTATCGATATGGCGAACTTTTTGAACATACGTTTCTCTTAAACCAGTCATCAAAAATTTCTGAAAATCTTACAAATTGTCAATTTAATGGCGATCTTTTGAATAGTAACAATATAATTTGAAATAGATATACATACTTCCATCTATATTGTTTTAAAAAATACATCACACACTTGTTTTATTCTTGGTATCATGTTTCCAGAGTGAAATGAAACATCTTTCCGAACCTCATTGGAACAAAACGACATAAACACAACATGTTTAGGTCTCTCAATATTGTAATTGTACAAAGGAAATTTTGGTTGATTTTAAAAAAGTATCTTGTTAATGAAATAAAAGGTTTTTCTTGATTTTTATCTATTTTGGGGGGATTTTGTTTGAATCTTTTGAATACTTTTTTAAAATCAACCAAAAATTCCTTTGTATAACTTTAATATTGAGAGGTCTAAAACATGTTGTATATGCTATTTTGTTCCAACAAGGTTCGGAAAGACATTTTATTTATTTCTCAAGAATCGATAGAAAGGAGCAAAAACAATTGCACTAAAAAAAACAAAAAATGTTAACAAAAACAGTTATATAAAATATTTCTAAATAATTTTCGCATTAAATTGTTGTCAATCAGTCAACATTACATAAAATACCATGTTTTTTACAGAATGTTTTCAATGATTGGTTTAAGAGAAAAACATTGTTGAATCCAGTTCTCCACATCGATACCTATCCTTTGGGTCCTGGGATAATCTGTTTTATGATTGTATCACTTTATTGATAATATACATGTATACTGTAGTTATACATAAACATAGGTGATTTTGCACCAAATACATTATTGGCCATGGGGATAATCCATGACTCCCATGAATATAATAACTATATACAAGACATAGTCTACTTTGTAGATGGGGTGATTACTCAATCCCTACTCGTACATAACACAATCTTGTCACTCGGTATACAGATAGATAACGTACAAGCAATCTACTTTGTAGATGGGATGATTACTCAATCCCTACTCGTACATAACACAATCTTGTCACTCGGTATACAGATAGATAATGCACAAGCAATCTACTTTGTAGATGGGGTGATTACTCAATCCCTACTCGTACATAACACAATCTTGTCACTCGGTATACAGATAGATAATGCACAAGCAATCTACTTTGTAGATGGGGTGATTACTCAATCCCTACTCGTACATAACACAATCTTGTCACTCGGTATACAGATAGATAATGCACAAGCAATCTACTTTGTAGATGGGGTGATTACTCAATCCCTACTCGTACATAACACAATCTTGTCACTCGGTATACAGATAGATAATGCACAAGCAATCTACTTTGTAGATGGGGTGATTACTCAATCCCTACTCGTACATAACACAATCTTGTCACTCGGTATACAGATAGATAATGCACAAGCAATCTACTTTGTAGATGGGGTGATTACTCAATCCCTACTCGTACATAACACAAACTTGTGACTGGGTATACAGATAGATAATGCACAAGCAAGCTGAACTCACATACAAAAATACTGAATATAGTAATCTCAATATAAGAGAATCTTACCACAACAATTTATATGATTTATCCATGCAATGCATTTATGGCCTGGTATATTTGAATATTATGAACAAAAAGCATTTTGGACCGAAAGAAATATTTGATTTTTCATGTATTTAAAATCATTAATTTGCAGTTCCATACATGAAATTCCAAAGAGGTATTATGACGCAACAAATGTACTCTAAGTAAAATTAACGCTTCTCTGTGTATAACCTTGTGCTGTCATAATAATTTTTCCTGACAGATCTCATAAATTTTCCAATCTAAGTAAAGTGCATGAGAATGAGGGATTTGGCATTAAGAGACACTTGCGTATTGATCTGCCCTTAAAGATAATTAGGAATTGTGCTTGGACTATAGAAAAGTACTCCTCACAAAAATAAGATACATCAATTTTTTAAGATATATACTGAGTTAAACAACTTTGAAATTTTAAATCTTTTGAAAATGTGATTTCTAAGTTGGGTAGATTCTTCATAGGGCGCGTCATGAAAATAGAGCATCTATTTCTATTCATTTCTCAAGTAAACACATTCTTGAATCTGACCCAAATTAGCCACCTGGTGGTAAAACTTGTAACTACCTACTTGCAGTCAGGTAATTAGTTCCATTACTGACCAATAGGTGACCAATCAGGTAATAAGGTTTTTTTCTACAGATTTTAAGAGGTGTTCATAAAATATGAAACTAACATCCTAAAATAATATTAAAGCAAATTGAAATACCAATGCATGCTCTGAGCCAAAATATAATCATGTCTATCTGTATTGATTGGTGTGATATTTAACCAAATCCTTTTCAAGAGCTTATATAATATATATGATATTGCAACAATGAAATAAGCAAATTCTACAACATTTACGGACAACATGATTCCAGGAATGAAATTCTGACAAATGCTACATACAAAGCAAACTAATTACAAAGTACATGTACAGCACATTGATTATGGCCTTTATGAAGTCTTATATGCATGTAAATGTAGAAATCAATATGCATTCAATAAAACTACTATAAGTTATTGCCAAAAGTTCGAAAGATGATGGCACATTTTCACTCAAAAGACTTCATAAAACATAACATCTCAAAGCATGTAGATTCTAAGTACAACTAAGTTAACTCTCTAGAAGCTCAAACTCACATGTCCCGTCACCCCTGCGCTCTGTAATTTACATTTAATAGAATCAGGGAAGGAAAAGGTTAAAGTTTGTCATACTAATACCTTATCAGTTCTAAACAAAAATTATTAAACTTTAATACAAACTGATGAAATATGGCAATCAAAAACATTAATAGATTTCGTTAACAGTCAAGCATAAAGATTGACACACAGTAGCAGTATTAAGTAGAGAGCAGTTTTCAAATAATTTCTCAAATTACATTTTCTTCGTATAAGATAATTCAAATTATTCTTATTTTAGAAAAAAAGATGTACATAGTTAATATCATGCAGTTTGCTTGGGTATGGGTTATTGTATATAATAATTGTTATAAATTATTCAATTATGATTTAATTATGATAATTGAATCATTTGTGTCTAATTTGTCTTTTTTCGATCATGGTGCCTACCTTAAAATAAAGCACCTCCACCCTATTCCAAGACAACCCACTTCAGCCCTATGGAACCATTGTACCCAAGCAAACCAGTACATGCAAACTTAAGGTAAGCAGAGTGTAATGATTTTTGGACCAAAATGTAAAAGTTTCAAGTTGGTCAACTCAATAACTCATTCTACTCTGCCTGCCTAATTAATTTTAAAACCTAGATGCATATTATCTGTATACTTATATACCTTATTCTTCTGTATATAGAAGCATATTGAAGCAATGAAGCAATACTATTGATGATATAAAGTTTCAATGTCACGATAAGACAAATAACTTCAAAGAAGTCTATTAAGCATTAACCTCGTACATTTTCAACATCATATCCGAGTTGCATCACTTGCGAATGAATGCATTACATGGATACGAGTGATGTTCCACAAACAAAAGATCAAATTACAAAAAACAAATTTCTTTCAGAATAACCTCTCTAAGGAAAACTAACAATTCAATCAGAACTGAAAATGAGGCAAATATAGGATTAACAAAATAAACATACCACTTCTGCCAGAGCTGATATGACTTTTCCTAGTGTTGTTAAAGATTTGTTGATATTTGCACCCTCTTTCAATCTAGTTCCTACAGCACCCGTGGAATCTGCTCTCTCACTACCAGCTAGATCTACCAAGCTAATTTTACTAACCTAAAAAACAAAAGATAGATACATTACTTAGATGTAAACTTCACCCATGCCAAATTGCAAACGGTTGATGTTTTAATACGTATTGTTATGTTTTCTTTAATTTTAGCCATCAAACATATATTTGCACTTTTCAACAATTTTGGATTTGAGACTCAGAATTATTTTAGATTGTGTGTCACTACTTACTTTTTCCCCACATAAATTGGTTTCTTTATCATGTCGTTTCTGTGTAAATACAATAGTGAATACTGCATGGGATCGACTACTTGTCTCATTCATATTGGTGGCAGCAACAGTTCTAAAACAAGGCATTAACATGACAAAATGTCACCACCTAGTTGCTCACAATATTAAGTCAGATTTGAATTTCTGAGAACTTGTAAAGTCAAATTTGAACTTCTGAAAAGATGTAGATAATTTTGAAAAAAAAATTTGGTCAATTTGAAGCAAGTTGAAAACAGACCTTTTTGACCTTTTTTGACCTTGAGAAGGTCATTAAAGGTCAAATGTCAAATCTAAAGTCAGATTTGAATTTCTGAGAACATGTAGATGATTTTGAAAAAAAAAATTAGTCAATTTGAAGCAAGTTGAAAAAAGACCTTTTTGACCTTTTTAGACCTTGAGAAGGTCATTGAAGGTCAAATGTCAAATCTAAAGTCAAATCTAAAGTCATATTTGAATTTCTGAGAACATGTAGATGATTTTGAAAAAAAATTTAGTCAATTTGAAGCAAGATGAAAAAATACCCTTTTGACCTTTTTTGACATTGAGAAGGTCATTGAAGGTCAAATGTCAAATCTAAAGTCAGATTTGAATTTCTGAGAACATGTAGATGATTTTGAAAAAAAAAATTAGTCAATTTGAAGCAAGTTGAAAAAAGACCTTTATGACCTTTTTTGACTTTGAGAAGGTCATTGAAGGTCAAATGTCAAATCTTAAGTCATATTTGAATTTCTGAGAACATGTAGATGATTTTGAAAAAAAAATTAGTAAATTTGAAGCAAGATGAAAAAATACCTTTTTGACCTTTTTTGACATTGAGAAGGTCATTGAAGGTCAAATGTCAAATCTAAAGTCAGATTTGAATTTCTGAGAACATGTAGATGATTTTGAAAAAAAAATTTAGTCAATTTGAAGCAAGTTGAAAAAAGACCTTTTTGACCTTTTTTGACTTTGAGAAGGTCATTGAAGGTCAAATGTCAAATCTTAAGTCAAATCTAAAGTCAGATTTGAATTTCTGAGAACACGTAGATGATTTTGAAAATTTTTTTTAGTCAATTTGAAGCAAGTTGAAAACAGACCTTTTTGACCTTTTTTGACCTTGAGAAGGTCATTGAAGGTCAAATGTCAAATCTTAAGTCAGATTTGAATTTCTGAGAACACGTAGATGATTTTGAAAAAAAAATTTAGTCAATTTGAAGCAAGTTGAAAACAGACATTTTTGACCTTTTTTGACCTTGAGAAGGTCACTGAAGGTCAAATGTCAAATCTAAAGTCAAATTTGAATTTCTGAGAACATGTAGATGATTTTGAAAAAAAAATTTAGTCAAATTGAAGCAAGTTGAAAAAAGACCTTTTTGACCTTTTTTGACTTTGAGAAGGTCATTGAAGGTCAAATGTCAAATCTTAAGTCAAATCTAAAGTCAGATTTGAATTTCTGAGAACACATAGATGATTTTGAAAATTTTTTTTTTAGTCAATTTGAAGCAAGTTGAAAACAGACCTTTTTGACCTTTTTTGACCTTGACAAGGTCATTGAAGGTCAAATGTCAAATCTTAAGTCAAATCTTAAGTCAGATTTGAATTTCTGAGAACATGTAGATGATTTTGAAAACTTTTTTTAGTCAATTTGAAGCAAGTTGAAAACAGACCTTTTTGACCTTTTTGACCTTGAGAAGGTCATTGAAGGTCAAATGTCAAATCTTAAGTCAGATTTGAATTTCTGAGAACACGTAGATGATTTTGAAAAAAAAATTTAGTCAATTTGAAGCAAGTTGAAAACAGACCTTTTTGACCTTTTTTGACCTTGAGAAGGTCACTGAAGGTCAAATGTCAAATCTAAAGTCAAATTTGAATTTCTGAGAACATGTAGATGATTTTGAAAAAAAAATTTAGTCAAATTGAAGCAAGTTGAAAAAAGACCTTTTTGACCTTTTTTGACTTTGAGAAGGTCATTGAAGGTCAAATGTCAAATCTTAAGTCAAATCTAAAGTCAGATTTGAATTTCTGAGAACACATAGATGATTTTGAAAATTTTTTTTTTAGTCAATTTGAAGCAAGTTGAAAACAGACCTTTTTGACCTTTTTTGACCTTGACAAGGTCATTGAAGGTCAAATGTCAAATCTTAAGTCAAATCTTAAGTCAGATTTGAATTTCTGAGAACACGTAGATGATTTTGAAAAAAAAATTTAGTCAATTCGAAGCAAGTTGAAAACAGACCTTTTTTACCTTTTTTGACCTTGAGAAGGTCATTGAAGGTCAAATGTCAAATCTAAAGTCAGATTTGAAGGTCAAATGTCAAATCTAAAGTCAGATTTGAATTTCTGAGAACATGTAGATGATTTTGAAAAAAAATTTAGTCAATGTGAAGCAAGTTGAAAAAAGACCTTTTTGACCTTGAGAAGGTCATTGAAGGTCAAATGTCAAATCTAAAGTCAGATTTGAACTTCTGAGAACATGTAGATGATTTAGAAAAAAATTGAAGTCAGTCTAAACAGTATTTGTTAAGTTATAGGAAGTTGTAAGAAATTGTTACAGACGCCAACCGCCGGACGCCAACCACCAACCACCAACCGCCGGACGCCGTCAAAAAAAAACGGAGACCATAACAATATGTCACCACTTTTGGTGGTGACATAACAACATTTTTGATTAAGAATATTTTATTTGTCCATGTTTTACATAATACATTGTATTGATTTGCATTATTATATTGATGAAACGAAAGGGATTGGACAAGAGACTATTGCCTATTTCAAGTCATCTCCCTTAAATATTCCAATATTAATCAATTCATGAAATCTCCCTTTAATGATTGGGTATTAGGCAAAAGAAACTGTATCAAAAATGCAATGTACATGTGACTTGTACTATAAAACAAAAGCATTTGATGTAATCTTGCATGTAGATTTCAACTATGATATCACATTGATTTATGTTTTTCCAATTTCTAGCTTTTATAGTCTAAATGTCATCATTGTCTTGATGCATTGTGGAATATCATCACAATCTTTATAAGTACTCTGTGATGCTACCACATGGGTATGTTCTAAATGGTGGCATGGCACAGCATGGTGGTCACAGGGCAACAATATTAATATATACATAAAGTAGTATCTGTATATGTACCTGTAATTCTGGTGATAAATTAGTTTATTCATACTGATACTGATTGAAGACATGCATAATATTACAGATCATTATGAATTAAACATTTTTTGATTTGATTTGAAAACTATATTCATTCTTGGTAGCTCGATCAGTACAAAACTGGTCTTCCTAGAAGCCCAGTAAGTTCAGAAGAATTATATATCACTAATTATATACAAGTATAATGTTAAATTGTACATGCATGTGGGTATAGAGTGCCATGATGGGGTTGGTACCATATAAACAAGGTTGACTTGAACATGTTAAACTGCCATTTGTCTAGTTCTCTAGTGAACTATAACTCTGAATTCCTGACAACCTGATGCATTTCTAACTTTCACGCCAAAGGAAAACTGCATAATAATCAATAAGTAAATAGATTGAGGTATCTTCTGACAAACATGGATGTAGAGTTGTAATACTGGGGGACGATATTCAGTTTGACTGATAAAATCAGGCCATTTCTCTGCATTTTACATTGAAAGTATTATACACTAAAATGTTTACTATATGGGAGGGAATGGCACAAATTAGTTCAGCTAGAGATACTTATACACGAGAGACTCACAGTTAAAACGAGAATGGCTTGAGTCAAGTCATTTACTGTGCCTGTTCAATGTAATTTGTTGTTTAAGAGTTCAGAATAGGCCTGTAACTGTTGTTGATGCTATATAATGCAGGTAGAATGATATAGGTTACACAAAACCTGTCTACTGCCAATCAGGGCCTGTTTAATGCCAATTCAAACATGACCGTGCTCTATTCGAATTTCTCAACCAATCAGAATGCAGCATAGCCAATATAGAACGTTCTCTAATTCTCCATAGATGCACGACCATGCTCTATTCAATCTGCAATTTGCATTGTTTTGAGTGACGTCACATCTCAGCTGCACATCTGGGGCTCTGTCCGGGGATAGCATGCGTATTCTTCCTTCATGCCCGTTCGAGAGACACGGCTTTTACTAATTTTTATGTTTGAATCGGAATAAATAATGATAGGCCATTCAATATGGTGAAATTCAGCACTCGTTGGACAGAATGTTAGTACAAATGCACTCACCTTCGGTTCGTGCTTTGTACAACATTCTGTCCAACTCGTGCTGAATTTCACCATATTGAATGGCCTATCATTATTTATTCCTTAATCAATTCATGTGCATTCTATATAATATTAATGCTGCGTAGACCTACTGATTGTAACAAATGGCATGGTACCAGTTGGTACATGTTTATAAGCCACATAGTGTCTGTTACTGTCTTTTGATATAAAGAAACAATCGGTACCTTTTCAAGCCACTTCCTGCCAGGAGTTGAGCTTAGGTACTGAGAGTAGCCAGTCAAAATGCCATTACAGACCAATTGCCATGTTATTGTCCTAACCTACTGAAAAAATGGTCCGTATCAAAACTGACCTGGCAAACGACCAGTGAACCGGCCCTTAGTTCAAACCCTGCATACTGCCAATAAAATACTACATTGTGGCTCTTTGACTCACCTTGCCTTATTGCCTTCATCTATCAGGTCATTAATATCTTTAAATGATTGCACTGCAAGTTTGGATAAGTCTTCTACATAGGGCCCCAATAGAGGGTGCTCACGTACTCTGAGATGTCCCTTGTTCTTGGGGTTCAGTAAATCCCTCACCCTTTCACAGTAGATCTCCATGTAGCTAACCTGAATCAAAAAATGCATTTGATTGTATACATGACATGTTTTCATACATGGTACACAAGTGCTGGTTTTGTACATGGTGCACAAGTGCTGGTTTCATACATGGTACACAAGTGCTGATTTTGTACATGGTACACAAGTGCTGGTTTCATACATGGTACACAAGTGCTGGTTTTGTACATGGTACACAAGTGATGGTTTTGTACATGGTACACAAGTTCTGGTTTCATACATGGTACACAAGTGCTGGTTTTGTACATGGTATACAAGTGCTGGTTTTGTACATGGTACACAAGTGCTGGTTTCATACATGGTATACAAGTGCTGGTTTTGTACATGGTACACAAGTGCTGGTTTCATACATGGTACACAAGTGCTGGTTATGTAAATGGTATACAAGTGCTGGTTTTGTACATGGTACACAAGTGCTGGTTTTGTACATGGTACACAAGTGCTGGTTTCATACATGGTACACAAGTGCTGGTTATGTAAATGGTATACAAGTGCTGGTTTTGTATGTGGTACACAATGGTACACAAGTTCGAACACAATGTTGTTATGTTATATTCCCCTACCAAAATCTCCATCCAAATAAAGAAATAGAACACAGTCTGGTAGAGAGAAGTCTATCACAAGAACTGATGTACTGTACTTTCTCAACATTTATTTGGCAAGTGGGGCAAGTGTAACCTCCTACACAATCAAAATATGTGTCTAGCTACAGTTGGTATCGATCAGAGAGAAAAACTGTTGTAAAACTTGATGATGAAATGGTTTCCTTTTGAGGAATAATATATGTTAGGTAGTGTATTCAAATATGGGAACAGCTATTGATTATGAAGTATACCACCACACCTCTACAGAATATTGCACATCTGAGTCACTATTGTCCTTGATTCTGTTGAATAAATCTTCACAGAGTTGAGGTATGATGCCCTGTTGTCCTGGCTCATTGCGACCCATCATTGTATAACTCTTTCCAGCACCTACAAACAATAGAAATATAATTTCACACCATAGGCTTTAAGACAAGGTGACATGGTTTATCAAGAAGGTAACATGATTTATGAAGGAATTAATATGGTTTATCATGATTGAAGGTCATGGTAACGAGATTGTTACATAATTTTATATACTAAATCACAGGTTTTGCAAACCTATATTTCAAAAAGTAATTATGAAATTGCATGTTCGAGATGGGTAAAATATCAATTATTTGCCATTTTTATTCAAAAGTAATTTCCTAAAATAGAGGAGTGCAAAAGTTCACTTTGATTTTGCCAAGAAAAAAATGACATTCTGTTGCGCTATTTAAAGAAAACAGCATGACATTACTGTGGAGTGTTGCCAGGTGATGGGTTAGAAATAGAATAGAATCAAATGATAGTTTATCACCTTTATTTGCTAATTGATAAATACCGTTGGAGTTGTTCGTGACAATCATGATTCAAAAATATTCATTTTCAATTTTTAATTATTACTTTATCAGTTAAACTTTACAGCAAAATCTAGGGTGATAAATACTTCAGTCATGTAAACTCAGGTTAAATCATGCTGCTTTCTATCATCACCAACACTAGTCGTAAAATATTAAAACGTTTACAGTGAACATTATATCCCATATTAGAAGAGGAAATGGCTTAGGCCCCAAGATATGCTAAACCAACATACTGAATCACCTTATTATGGAATTCTACTAGGATTAAGATACATCATCGTATCATGTCTTCTTTGACACTAACAGCCATAAACCATCATAGACTCTCATAAAGAGGTCAAATATCTTTGTATAGTTTGATGGATATAAATCCCATCTGGAAATTTGATACTCAGGTAAGTTTGAAATATTTTCAGGTCATGTTATCATTTACCTATCATAAGTAAACATAAATGTTAACGTTATATCTTTCTAAAATTTATGACATCATCCCATTCAGCCAATCCAGTTACTCTCGCTAGATGGTAATGATACACAGAGGTAGTGTCACCAAACCCTCATACAACCTAATACAATTATCTCAAATATTAGAAAAAATTGATTCAATAAATCTTGCAATATTTAAGAACAAAATACTGACCTGTCTGTCCATATGCAAATATACAGACATTGTACCCCTCAAAAGCATGCTCCAACATCTCAATTCCAATGTCTTCATATACCTTTCTTTGGGACGCAAAATTTGGATCATTTGGCTGAAAAACAAAAAAAAAATTCAAAGTAAAATTGTATTGTGAGCAGCCCAATTCTAAATAACCCAGTCTAAATAAATAATTCGAGGTGAACAGTTTATTCAGTCGACCTCTTGTTTTCCTAATAAATGCACAAAAGGCTTAACAAACAAAATGAATCACACTTGTGGTATCTAAATAATGCCTGAATCAATTGCAAACCTCTCAATCCATTCCTACAGATTTTTCTCAATTACATGTATGTAAAACCGTGTATATTGATCATGTTTTGGCCAAGAAAAAACATTCAGTGTTGGTATGTGTTCACTACACAGTAGAGTATGTGCGGGGTGAGGTGTTCACTGTTAACTGTACATCTACTCAGTATCAAACCTCATACATCTGTATGGACTTGGGACAATTGTATCTTTAAATGCACAAAGATGTATTATGGTTCTGTTAACATGCCATCATTGGATAGTGAGTTAGTGACATGTATGCTTGTTAACAGAAGTGGCACAAACCACATGTAGCCATTGGTTGTGACATTTCTTTACATTCTACCACATATTGATGCATATGTATTGCATGAAAACTGCTTCAACCAAGAAAAATTGTTCATACTGAGACTGGTCCAAAGAGAGATTCTGCTAACAATCCAGTAAATGGAACTGCGAAAACACAACTCAAAATGTTCACATCAAGTTTTACTGATTGTACTTCAGACATGAAACGAGTGACTTGGGGAATAGCAGACAATTGATTTTACTTCTTATATGAGCAATGTTGGATTAACCTTTCAGACTGTGTATTACCTGACGTCATCATGTCAGCTCCGAGACATGTAAACAGGATAGCCCAGGTTTAGGTTATCACGCCAGCTGATATAATCACGAAATAATACACAATGTGAGAAAAAATGTAATTAAATCAAAAAAATGTTTAGGTGAATGATGCGCAGTATGAAGAAAGTTTAAGAAATCACGAAAAAAACTACACTGCATGAATTGTGGGAACTTGTGATGTATATATCACAGAATTCAATAGCCCTATCACTCCATGTACATGTGAATCACATTGTAGTACAAAATGACCCTGTAAAACTGTACATGGTACACAAAAAATTGTAAATTTTGAAATAAAATACAAACTATTTCGACAGTTTCTCTCACAAGTGGATTCCACTTCATTTACCAGAAATGATCTAATATATAATGGCATAACTCAGATCTAAAAGATCAGAATTATTAAGCATCTCGGCTCATCAATTTCCATTGAAAATAATTCAGGATAACGTCAAAGCAAGTCAGTGTAAATGTCAAATGGTCATAAGAATTAATCGAGCGGGGATTCGTGTAAGTTAGATGAGCAAGTTTTCATGATTCAAAGTCATTCTTCATCACCAGGTCAGCATTTTCTCTACTTATCATAAGAGTAGGGTTTCTCTCCAATTTTTCCAACTTTCAATTTTAGGTCTACTCTTAACAGGTCTAATTAAGGTCTACTCTAACAGGTCTATTTTAGGTCTACTCAGCGAGTTTTCACCACTACTTCAGGTCTACTCAACGAGTCTTCAACACTACTTGAGGTCTACTCAGCGAGTCTTCGTCACATCTACCCTTGGTCTATATTGATCACTGTTACAGCTGACCAAAGGCTACAGTATGGATCATTAAACACCAAACACCCTCAGGTTTTCTAGATCAATAAGACAGACCATCTGAACAGACACTGTATATATATATACTGTACAACCTACACTACTTCAAATGTAATCTCTTACATGGAATCAATTAGCTGGCGTATATATCTCGAAGATAACGACAAACTCTAAACAAATACTGTTGAGGTATTTGACAAGTAATAGCAATTACCGACAGGATCAATATATTCTCTCCGTAAAGAATGAGAGCTTGATCAAGTCCCACACAAAAAACTCATCGATTTTTTCTCATGAAGTAAATGATACAACCGGTTGATTTCGTAAATTCCACGAGTCTATAATGAGTATAATGACTTTATGAGATGGGATCAGAAAAAGGGAAATGAATCTTGCCAGATCAGGTTGTTTGCCAAATCGATTTAATAGAAGTGTTATTATGTAGAGTAAATTATGATGAACATAATTATTTTAACATATATGGGATGTAATAGATGTTATTGTTTAGATTTTGTAAATGGGAATGCTGACACAATAATGTGCATGATAGAAAATAAGTCTTATTCCTTGAAAAGGGGATTTATCTGGACATTTATTCTTTATTGGGAATCCACCTATTGAAATATTTATATCTAATCCCCGTTCACAATGCCAATGCAAGACACTTGATAGGTAAGTCTCTCACAGGCTGGTATCGAAACATTTGTCCGCTGTGACTGAGCATGTTATTTTTCATAAAAACACTAAGAATACTTAATCTATTAATCTGAAAACATAGGAATAGGATCAAATCATATGCTAAGGGCTGATGTGGAAAAATCACTCTACCCTAGTGGGAATCGAACCCACAACCTCCCGATTACATGTCAGGTGCTCTGAAAATTACTTACTCCATGCAATGGATACATCATTTGCGGGTAACTTTCACTTCTGTTTGAAGTCCCATTACACTAGGAGGAAAAGCTATTGAAAATGGTGCCGGAGTATAATACTCCAAAATGTACCATTTCTTTTTTAACTTTTTAATGGCACGGTACAGTGACATGATATTATTTACATATGTTTTCAGCATAACTCTGAAGGTATTAATGAGATATTGATGTATTGGGCCTTTTTAATTTTTGCATTAAAATAATGTATAATTTTTTTGTCTTCTGTGACGGAGCAGTTGCAAATGTGAGCCTACAGCTCCGTCACAGTTGACAAAAAAATTGATATATGAAACGTTAAAAATTTTTAGTTTGCCTCATTCTCATTCCTCCTCTTAGCACACTCAGTGAGTGATGCCGGAAATTGCCAGATATCATAAAAGTTATTGCAGAAGATGTTATTTTTGAAAGTATACCTTATATACATACAACAAAAAAATTGAGAATAATAAGAGATTCATATTCCTCACTTATATGATTTGTAAGTGAGATTCTTTGCCAGCAGCTGCTAAGGAATATTTATTGTCCAGTCAGGGTTCCCAAATTGATTTTCTGGAAAGTGTAACATTAGGAATATTGATTCTTGTTTGGTGATTCACGTATGGTTATACATCACTATAATTCAGTTAGACCCTTGATTTATATGATTTAATATACCATGCAATATTCATCAAACAACAATTCACCTGAATGAAACTTTGAAATAAATGACCCATTCCTTAACAACATACCAAAGAATTTTGCTCAATTTCAAGAAGTATCTCTTAAAACATACCACCAGATGTTGAAAATGGATCTAAACAGAATTGACAACATTTTTCAAACAACAGACATTTTGCCTAGAAACACCAAACATCAAAACCCTCATACTTTTTGAGTGATGAGTACTGTGATGAGTATCAGAATGCATAAAAGTTGAATGCTTGAAAGACAATGAGAGGAACAGGGCAAGAACCTTAATCTATAATGACATGTAATTATATGCTTTCTCAAATCATTTCTCTTTAAAATCCAAACGAAAACCTGACTTCTGGACATTTATAAAGCTAACAGCTGATTTATTCTAAATAAAGACACAGATTAAAATTCATCAATATTTTGTTGACTCTGTATCATATTTTGTAACTCATAACTTGAATCAGATAATGATGCTTCGGCGTGGGTCCAGTACCTATTGTTTTATTTATTTAATTTGAAATAAAGAAAAATATATACTTTACTTACTGTTGTATGGGACCAGTAAGAGTAGTCAAAGTTAAAGCTCTTTGGACCATCATCTCGAACATCTTTGGGATTCGCTATCGCTGCAACAGAAACAAATACATATAAACACATATAAATATATATAACAAATTATTAAAACAACCAATCACTATTGTGAGAAATATATTTTCAGATGGTCAATGATCAGAATATTTAGTTAAAGATATTCTTTCAAAAGCCAGTTGAACAAAAAGTATCTACTGTATATTATCGCTAGTATCACTTTATTACCAAGAACATTAGTGAGGAGATATAATTAAAAAAAATAATTAAAAAGATCAGGATCTCAATTAGAATTGACCAGAAAGTTATAAAGGTTTTAATAATTATTAAAATACCATTCACTGAAGAAAATTTAAATGAGTCCAAAGGTGGAAAGTGCCAGCAATATATTCAATATCAGATATATGTTCAGACATATTTATCAATCAAAATGACATAGAGAAATTTTGGAGAAACCTGGTCTACAAGGTGGCTATCTACAAGTGCAATTCATAAACTTGAATCACAAAGCAGATGGTATTTGAATTATTGGAAATCATTTGGTTGATTTACAGAAGCAGGAAATAAAACACCCATAATCACAGCCTCCCCCTCAATAACACAGCGCATAATACACAGACATGCCACTGTATTGATATTCTGCAAGTGAAATTGGGTCTTTCGTAATCCAATTTCATCTGAAAAGAAGATTCACAGAGCCCATTTAACATCAGCGTAATTCTGATAAGTATTGTACTAAATAATGGCAAGCTTCATTATGGTTGCCATAGCAATCCCTTATTCGAAAATTCTGAAAAAATTATGCAATTCTAAAACATTGTAGGCCCACTAGTATCGAGATAAATTGTTTTAATCTGAGAAAGAATTCAGAATGTACAAATACTTAACAAAGCATATCTAGTGCAAGAATTCAGACATACTCTGAAATACAGACCTCAACCTCAAATATATTCTCATCCTCTAAATAAATAAATTTTACACCCATACCCAGAGTAGTTCAAGTGTTTCTGCCCTTTGAGTAACTTGGGTGTCAGGCATTCAAAAATAGACTCGAACCTAATAGTCTAGGAAACCTCAAACTAAGTCATCTATTTTGTCATATAAATCTTATCGGTTCAATGACGTAATTCAGAAAAAAAATTCTCTGAAGATTTACGAGTAATCGTAAAGAAAAATTTAAATTGAAAAGGCTCACAGATTGGGATTTCAAGAATTCTCAGAAGAACATAAATACGACGCCATTTATATGACACTGGTACTTGAACTTGAATTGCAAGTATTTCTTCGCAAATAGAGTACATCGAACACCTGATTCATCTAGAAGTTGCGACAATAATCGAGCAAAGACATTGGAACAATAATAGAGGAAATAACATCCTACATAACACTCCCCCTAGTGAATCAAATCTCAAGAGAATAAGAGAATAAAAGAATTGTTAATCAGGCCTCCGCTGAGACCTCCAATGGCAAGTACTAACCAGAACAACGGCAACGCCAAAGCGTAGCGAATCCCATCGAACAGCCATGGATGGCATTTTTACAAACAAAGTATATAGCAAAAATGGCAGGCATTTTTCAAAATGGCCGCCTTCTACCAGTTGTGTCATTAGACCATTTGCCATACTTATAGTATTCACATACCAAATATGAACACAATCGCTCCACTACTTTTCGAGTTATAGTAAAATACGTTAAAATGGCGGCCATTTTGAAAAATGGCCGCCTTTTACCAAAAGTGTCATTAGACAGTGTGCCATGCTTACAGTATTCACATACCAAATATGAACAAAATCGCTTCACTACTTTTCGAATTATAGTAAAATACGTTAAAATGGCGGCCATTTTGAAAAATGGCCACCTTCTACCAAAAGTGTCATTAGACAGTGTGCCATCCTTATATTATTCACATACCAAATATGAACAAAATCGCTCCACTACTTTTCGAGTTACAGCAAAAATCGTAAAATAACGAGTAAAGGCCGCCATTTTTCAAGATGGCTGCCATGTGCTTCTTTAATATCTACATTTCTAGCTTTATTAATGTCCTATATAATTTTTTTACATCTAAAACATATTGCTATTACAGTTTTACATATTGCACCTAAATTAATGTAAATTCGGCACTAAAATGGCCGCCATTTTGAAATGAGCGGCCATTTTGAAAATCGGCTTTAGAGCAGAACTTCTACCCCCATAGGGTATATGTGTACAAAATATGAACAAAATCGGGCCAGCGGTATTTGAGTTATTGCCCGGACGGACGGACGGACGTACGTACGGACGGACGGACGTACGTACAGACGGACGGACGGACGTACGTACGTACGGACGGACGGACGGACGGAGGCGTTCCCTATATCCCTCCGAACTTCGTTCGATGGGATAATTATTGGTGCAGATTAGATTTCATCATAGTCTCGTAATCACATTCATTTGTAGGTCACGTTGTTCCCTAATAATGTATGTAACTAGACAATAGCAACGCCAAAGCGTAGCAAATCCCATCGAACAGCCATGGCTGGCATTTTTACAAACAAAGTATGTAGCAAAAATGGCAGCCATTTTTCAAAATGGCCACCTTATACCAAGTGTCATTGTTTGTTATCGAGTCTGCAGACTTGTGACTACAAGTCAGTGGGTTAAAGCTTTTTCTACTGGTAACACTCCCCTTCCCTTTTGTCTTTATTGATGTTTGTTGGACAGATGGATGGACAGACTGACGGATGTACGGAAGGACAGACAGAGGCGTTCCCTATATCCCTCTGAACTTCGTTCAATGGGATAACAAAAGTATATGATCTTGAATTAAAATAATAAAAATAGATCTGCTATTTCCATTTATTGTGTGGGTTGTAATCCTGGAGGTGTTGTTTTGTGAATGTCAAATGGTATAACTTTTAACCTCAAATTTTTATATTTTATGGTTGGCACAAGCGATAGAAGAAACTGGCAATTTTTGTAAAATAGGATCTCATCCTTACTAGAAATCAGGGAGCCTACATCTGAGCTTGAGTATAAAATGCATCTATTTCTTGTCAAATTGCATGTATGCACGATTCACCAGTTTTTGAGCTATTCTTATGATTGGCAAATAATTATTGACTTTTAATTACTACTGAAGTACTGTACCTCACTTTATGATGAGAACTCCCACAACTGGCCAATATGGATATTGCATGATTGCAATCTTAGAATAGGTACATATAAATGTCAAGCCTGTTATTTCAATGGTAGATTCGGCAATGAGCAAATCTGAACTCTAAATTGAATAGAAAATATCAGGTAATTCATTCAAAATTGACATAAACTGAAATCAATTGAGCTCAGAAAGTTAATAATATCGGCATGTCGCCCAACATAGGCTACTTGTATTGATTGACCATTAGTGTAATATCAGAATTCATACATAAGTTATGGTGCCATATCGGAAATATTCACTCAAAGAGCTTCCGCAGACCAAACAGCCTCAGGATGATATATTATACATCATCAATATATATAAACATATTGAATAATGAATTAATTCAGTTCGATTCCAGACTCATACATATCGGAAATATCTTGACTTGCATGTCGTCTTTGGTTTCATTACTAAGTATCTATTTTCCCATTCTCTTGTGTTTGGGAAGGATATTGTAGAGGTATGCAAAATTAGGATATCACACAATCAAAAGACCTCATACTTGAATATCTTAGTGAGCATTTTGAATGCAACTGCCAGCTGTCGGTTTGATTGCAATTTTATGGCCAACTTGTTTAAATATGAAGAGTGAATCCTGATAGCTGCTAGCTAACGAGTCAAACCCAATTAGTGACCTTTATAACAGTTTAATCTGCCTATTTAAGCATCAACTAACACCAACTTACGATCCATTTGCTAATTCAACAAAGCAGCTTCATTATAATAATTTATTACAAGCCTCTGTGCCTCTCCCCCCCTCCTCTACTGGACTAAACACCTTCTCACATCTTGTTGTGCAAGGGTTTGTAGCTAGACTAAATGGATAGTTTCAGTGGCATAAAAATGTGATCAGTGATCACTCTTAGTTGACTGATGGTTGGATCATTATTTCTAAAGGAGGAGGGAAAGTATCGCAACAGATTTCTGACACTCATATGTTAGACATTTGAGACAGGGAAGAAGCAAACAACCCACCCATGTTTTTTCTGAAATGTTGTTCTGATTTTCAACCCCTTTCACCCCTGCTTTTTTGAGTTTTGTTGCCTCAATATGTTGCGTTTTAAGACACTGTTAACCCCATAAAAGGAATAAGTAATTCCTCCAGGGGTTTTAAAGATATCCATTATGGGTGACCAAATTAAGCTGAAAGCAATGGATTGCATGAGTTTCCCTATGGGAAAATAACATGGGAAATATTGCTTTCCACTTTATTCAAGAGGAATCGCTTATTCCTTTTAAGGGGTTAACTGTATCTTAAAATGCAACGTATTGATGCAACAAAAATTGAAAAAGTAGGGGTGGAAGGGGTTGAAAATCAGGACATTTCAGAAAAAAAACATGTGGGTGGGTTGTTTGCATCTTCCCTGTCTCGAAGTCAAAATCATTTTATCATCTCAGTGCTTTCCCTGGAGATAATACATTTGCCTATGCACCTGTTTAAATCCTAAGAAAATAACCAAAATCCAACATATGACTGTCTGAAATCTCTTGCGATACTTTCCGTCCTCCTTTATGCAGATTACCTATCAATTAGAGGTCAAGGTGTCAACCGGCAGTTGCGCTCACGAATACTACCTTAGTTTTTTTATCCCAAGATACTTCAGATTCAGAGTAATGAATTACTTGAGATTATCATAACTCCGCCCAGAATGACTGATAATCAGGTGGACACACTATATTCTTTAACACTACCAATCTTCGCATGCTTCACTGCCACGTGAGCCAAATGAACACAGGTGATCATTACAGTACCTACATTCTGCCTACTGAACAATATGGGACCTATTCCCACTCTAATTACATAATTGCATTATTAAATATGAAATGTCAGGTCTTAGATCTAGAAAAACTGAAATC